ATAAAAAATATTTTTTTCAGTTTTAATAATATTTTACTGTTAACATAGTTTTTACTAATTAGCTTGTCCACCAAAAGCCAAAATTGAACAATTCCCGTAGGTCATTTGCATACAAATGGTAGATGGATGAGACATTCTGGGTAATAGAATAAATGAAAATAGCGAGCAATAAAGGAGAAAGCACGCCACTCCGAAGAACACCAACAGACGTAGAGCACCATTCAGAGAAAGAATCTCCAATACGTACTCGTACTCCATGTAGATGACTACGAAACCAATCAATAACCTTTGGAGATATGTTGAGGGATTCAGCAAGCCAAGCAAAACGTAAGAAGCCCTTTTTCTAAGGTATCAATCTCTACTAGGTTACCTTAGGCTAAAAGAAAGTATATCAATTCTTTTTCTTATTTATATAGCTAACTCCACCGAAATACAGGCCTACTGTGTTTGAAACGATCTAGTGTTAAAATATCAACTAGAGTATGTTTCTGTTTATTATCATTTTGTAAAATCTCGATTTAATCATATAATGTTGCAACATTCAACTCTGGCGATCATATTTCGATTCTATCACAAACGTCTTTGACACAAATTATTGGCGTTTTAATTAATTCCTTCGTTACCTTGGCTGTATTTATTAGTGCAATGGCGTCTTCGTAAATCAATAAATGACTTTAATAGTAATAAAAATGGTGTCACAAAAGATGATATCTAAACAGCACTCACAATATTCAATATCCTTCCTAATATTACAAATGTGAAAATAACTGTGTCAGTCTGTCTGTTACGCCTTCAAGCTTATACCATTAAACAGATTTTAACGAAATTTTATTTGAAAAAGGGTTGAAATAGTGATGTAAGATTTTAAGGAAGGAGACTATACCATGTATTAGTATATATTATTTTATTGTATTATATCACAATGCTACACCTACCTAAACAAAAGAGTAACTTATCATAAAGACCTTGTATGATAGTTACTATTGGCAGGATAAAATATTAAACAAAAATATAACCAACTTCAAAACTTTAAAAAAGTGATAAATAATACTTATCCCAAAGGCGACTTACTAAAACAAACATACATCATCTTCGAACATATAACTTTTGGATTCTGAAGTCGGTTAAAAAAAGGAACATTAAAGAATTTATTATTTAAAGAATTTACCTATAAATGTGATGTTGGAATTCGATGTCGCAGAGGGAAGATAATTTAATTACTACGGATGTATTCTCTCTGCGAGGTCAAGGAAGTCAAGCAACTTTCGCAAAGGTCAATTATATGAGATGGGTGGTATAGGAAATTATCTTACTTTTCCTTATTTCGAAGAACACTTAAATAGGGTGTGTATGAAAATTACCAAGTTTTCGGTTTATTCCGACCAAATTAAAGTGAACAAAATTAATTATACCTACTTTCTAAAGAATCTGTTATAAACAGAGCGTGAATTTATAAAAAAAAAATCATAGAAAACAATGCTCCAAGAAATAGTTTTTTTTATAGGCAAACTTAAAACGTGAGAACTTTTACAACTTTATGAAAAATTAAAAAAAAATATATGAATTTGATCATTCCGCCCACCAAGGTCTTGTCCTTCAGTTTAAAGAATATCAGTATTTCATTCAATAGATAAACTTAATAAATGTGCGTTTCGAGTGACTGAACGAGGGCTACACGAGAGTGAATAATTACACTTAAAAATAGTTGCTTAGGGATTTTTTCGTATTATATATTAATGCGTATTATCCGAGATAGGGCCTCAAATATATTTTTTCTTGGTTACTTGCAAATCATTTCCAATATTGCAATGATTTAGATGTAACACCTCTTCTTTATAGTGAGTAAATAAATTTATTAATTTTCACTACAACAATAGAAAAAGTTTTTAATATTGAGTTTCTATTGTTCGAGAAGAATTACGAGTATCTATAGAAGAAGAACTATGTATAGTCGAACTTTAGAATTATCCAACACGCCAGATAAAAATATAAAAAATTCCATGTACAGCCCCAGTAGCACTATCATTGTTATTATGTCAACATAATAAAGATGTAGTTATTTCCTTTATAAATATAACAGTATTTCGGGATTAAATTCTTTATTTGAGACCAAGACATTACCTTAGAGGCATTTCCTATCGACTTTCTCAAACTTATTACCATCAATAACGAATATTTACTTATATACAGACAGCTTTTTAAAATTAAATATTTGTACGGAACTCACACTTAACCGGTTTTTTATAAATAACACGATAAAAATGCAAATAAACACAAAGACTCGTTACTATTGAGATGATGTTTGTCCTTCACATAAGTGGAGTGTACATAGCATTGCATAATAGTTAGCGGTTTGTAGTATAGTTTAATGTTTCACGGTGCATGACTAAGATGACATTGAGAATTGACGAGACCACAGATTTATGTACGAGATTTGACATTTATGTGTGTACAGACAGATGCATAAATGTGGACAGAAGCACGACAGAAGCTCGCACTAAAGCTTCGTATGTGCAAGTAAATCTTAGCGACGGGTACGATGAATTTTACTTAATAGCATTGGTGATTCCTTTATTAAAATATCTCTACATTTATTTTAAACATGCTTACCATGACAGAGACGCATTACCGACACAGAATTTCACTTTTCTCCGGTAGAGAGCGAGATATTGTATGGGCACACCTTCTATGTTCTGCGGGCAGATCGGAGAAAAGTGGATAAAGCGTTTCTCGATTGTGTACGCTACTCGCGCTGCTCGACGGCAGCATAGGTCGTGTGTGCAAAATAATAAGTACCTAAGCTTATAAGTATAATTTTTCACTTAAACCAGCCATTGCCCCAAAAGAACCATTATATTTTTGTAGTGTACTTTTTAAGATGTTTTGACGTACAATCTAAGAGTTCGAACATATTACGTTTTAGTTTTAATATGCTTAAAATACTTAAATGTGTTGGATAGCAACAAACAACAGAAATATAATTTTAAATAAGTCTGACTAAAAAGTTTGAAATTATTAATGTACAATGTAACATTTAGTAGATAGACATTATAAAATGTTTCAATATGGAGCGTGCGAGTAAGTGAAGAGAACATTGGCGATGTCGCTACAAAACAGGTTTTATAATTAATGAAAACGTCTACTAAAGACACCTTTATGTTTTCATTCATAAAGCAGCCTGTCTAAATGTTAAACATTTAAACAAATATTATTTTAACTAAAAAGTTTATATAATATCTTTTCAGCCAGTTTTCACAAACGTCCATTGAAATAGTCATTAGTAAGGACATTACCGATACAACTTTTTACAAATTCACGAATTTATAGTAGATAAACTAAAGATTTTTTTCAATGTAATTATATGTAATCGGGTCTTGTTCGTGCATTTTTTAAAACTATTAATTTACCTCGACGTTTCGGCTACGTTACAGCAGCCGTGGTCACGAGGAGACTGTAACTGGCGGGCGTCGTCTTCTGATTTTAGTTGAGGCGTGAGGGTAATCCGGTAATGATGTTTTTAACAGATTTTCAGATGTATGTACCCTACACTTGATTTTATTGTACGTAAAGGTGGCGACACACTGCACTTTACATATAATTATAATGTATACAAATCGTGTGAGTTTAAAAACATTATTTTTTTTAATGGTTTAAAAAGTTAACCCTACTTTATTTACACATAGGATATAACGTAAAACAGAAAGATAACAAATATACCTATTAAATGCACTGCATTTAATGCATTTTAGGCAGATAGTGAGCGACTAACATATGTAACAAGTACTTTTGCATAAAGTACGACAGATGTAGGGACGGACAAACAGACGAGATTTGAGTGATGTTTTTTCTTTTATAAAAATAAGTAAAAATGTAAATGTCTTTTTAGTTACATCCGTATTTCAAGTAAAGTATGCAAAGCAGCACATTAGATTACTACAAAAGTCGGTTTCTAATAATAAACGTATACAATTTATTTTAATGTTATTTTTCAGTTGTATGAAGCTTTTTTAAGAATGTTTATTTTTTTAACAAAGAACTAAATTATTTGTTTTAACCATCAACTGATTAAAGTTTAATTGTATTGATGTTTTTATTAAGTGTATTAGAATCGTTATTCATAACGTCGTTGATACAACGTGCTGATTCTAAAAAGAAATCACGCTAATATTTGTATTCTCGGAATGGCACCACGCAAACTGCCTTCGGCATCTGATAAATTATCCATTATGTATTCTGCGTAGTGCACGACGATACCCGCCACATTATAAAATACCACAGTATGTGTACATTAAATAGATTTTTGTAATGCAGTAAATATTTATGCTAATATATTTTAACGTTACACGTTATGGGGAATAACTTAGCTGTTGGTAGTTTCTTAAAAGCTCCACTATGTTATTCTGATAAAAAACAGCATCGAACTCGATGCTAAGCGCAACGCTGAGACATTATAAAGGATTGATAAAGTTGAACCTTTATTTGATAAATTGAATATATGAGAGTGCAACGCGATTAAGAGTTTGTGTTAGTTTTTTTTTTTAACAGAATAGCTCTGCAAATTTCATTCGTTTTAATAAATATTATAAACATTTCTAAAAGTAATGTCAAACAGTTTTAATTTCTATTACTTACTCGCCTGAACCCTTGCAGCAGAGACTACCGAGTGCCACAAGACATAGAATTTGCTCAAATCTGGCATTTCGTTGAAGTTCAATACACTTTGAATACACGCATGTTAGTTTTTCTGGTTTCTAGCCTCACCATTCGATATGAGGGTTGCCAGATGATCGGGATTTATCTGGGTTGTCTGGGTTGGCTGACTTTTCGGAAGCTATTTATAGTCACAAAAAGAAGGAAATGTTCCAAGAAAAGTGAAATAATCCTAATAATACATGATCAATCTTTTAGCGAAAGTATACTGAGGCTTTCCTTCGGTAGCTTCCACATCCTTCACATTCTTATTTCATTTTAAAAAAGGTAATGTAATATTTGTTTTACAGACACGGTGAGAAATGGCGTAAATTCCGTTCGAAAGTCCAGCGGCCGATCCTCCAGCCGCAGACCGTGAAGAGGTACGTCACCCCCATAGAGATGGTGACGGAGGACTTCATTAAATACATGGAAGATGCGAGAGACGAGAACGGCGATCTACCCATGGAGTTTGACAATGATATACACCGATGGTCTCTTGAATGTAAGGATCATATTTACTGTCATTAATATTATATTAGAATGTGGTTGTAGAATGTAAGAAGATCCTGTTTTGGCCACTGTTCCCTCTTTGGCCATTTGGAACTTCTAATCATTCTAACTAACGCATTGATAAATACATAAATTTAGCATGAACGGTTTTAAAAACGTTTCATTATGGCAAAACTAATTGTATTAACAGTTATGGTGTATCAAAGTTTACTTTGTCGGAACTCTCAAAGTGGCCAAAACTAGCTTATAATCTTAAAATGGCCAAAATGGGGTTATCTGCCTTATGTAAGACGCGCAAATGTGTTTAGGTTTCTAGAATCTCTTTAATATATTCGAAATTAAAGAAGAACATTAGTTATAGCAACGCCATCTATGGCTATGTTTTAGGTATCGGTCGTGTCGCGCTCGACGTTCGGCTGGGCTGCCTCTCGTCGGAGCTGAGCAGTGACTCGGAGCCGCAGCGTATTATAGACGCTGCTAAATACGCGTTGCGGAATGTCGCCGTACTAGAGCTAAAGGCACCGTACTGGCGATACTTTCCGACTCCGCTCTGGACTAAATACGTGAATAACATGAACTTTTTCGTCGAGTAAGTGTTGTTTATTGAAACAAATACGACTGTATTTCAATCACACATTAAAAATACTTCTGACATATTGTGTTTTTTTCATATAAAACAAGATCTATTCATTAACGATGTTTGGAATATTAGACTATACAAATTCATTTTACCTGCATGTTTAGCTCATGTTGAAAATGCAGGTAATTCATAAATATAATAAAAAATAATTAAAAATTGTCAGTATCATGGACCCGAGACGGAATCCGAACCCGTGAACATTCAGAAATAAAACCTCGGGAAGTAGCATTGTAAATTTAAAATTTATCAGATATACAGCCAGTTGCGCAAATGTCCATTAAATTTTGCATTAGTTAAAAGCGACGTTACCCATACAAATTTGACATTCCTTAGAACTTAAAGGCATCATTAAACTTTAATGGGCCTTTGAGCAATGAAATGCATACATATTCCTTTATTGATAACCACATGAAAACAATACCCTAATAATTTTTAGTACTAATTTTTATACTAATTTTTGGTAAGATTAATTCAGTTTAAAACTTAGATAATGACTACATTTGTGTTTCAGACTTTGTTCGAAATACATCAACGAGGCTTTGGAGAGGCTGAAAACTAAAAAAGTTACGTCAGAGAATGATTTGTCATTACTAGAACGTGTACTCAAGAGTGAAGGAGATCCAAAAATTGCAACGATCATGGCGCTCGACCTGATTTTAGTCGGAATTGATACGGTACTTTATTGTAAAAACGTTGTATACTATTAACCCGCCCGACTCTTTAAAAGTGCAATTTATGATTTTATATTATGAACTTACTTCCTTTATTGATGTAAACTGCCTAAAAGCCTACTTTTGGGTTGTCTTTTAATCACGTGATGTTTTTTTTCAGCATTTTTAACCCCTCTCCATCTTGGTAATACATGAAGAGGTTTAAGACTAACCTCCGTCCCTCCACCGAAATCACGTGTGTTTTTAGTCTCTAAAAGTCTTAATTCTGCCCCTTGTTATTTCATGACTTTTGACGAACCTCACTTGGTTACCCTCTCGAGCCTCACGTGGTTAATGGACGGCCCCATTTCTGCTCAGACAGCTACTGTGAAAGAACCTTGTTTCATTATATAGAATTAGGTACTTACTCTTTGAAATATTAAATATGGAAAACCTATTAGCTTTAGAAAATGTCAGAGATTGAAATATTTTATCCAAAATATCACACCAGCCGGAAAACCAAATTTGAAATATTTTTTTATTGTTGTAGATATCCATGGCAGTCTGCTCTATTCTCTATCAGACAACACAAAGATTGAAACAGCAGGAGAAGATGGCGGAAGAGATAAAGAGGGTGTTTCCTGATCCCGACAAGCCTATCACCTACGCGGACTTGGACAAGTTGCATTACACGAAGGCTTTCGTAAGAGAAGTATTTAGGTTGGTATTGGCAAGAATATTTTTACTCTCACTTCTTAAAATGGATTTTTAATTTTGAATAGTAGAAAAAGTATATTGATAAAATGATAATTTGTTACAGAATGTATTCGACGGTAATCGGCAACGGTAGAACATTACAAGAGGATGACGTGATTTGTGGATATCATATTCCAAAAGGAGTAAGTATAAATAAGAATTGCAAAACAATATTTTTATGAAGTACAGTACAGTTTAAATGATGATTTGTATTAATACATGAAATATCCCCATAAATAAACGAGAAAGTTAAATTTGTAATGTAAAAAAAATGATACTTAAGAGTTTGAAACCTAGTGAACGTGAAAAGTGAAAAACGTAACACATAAAACGCATAATCATCCTGTATCTATAGGTCGTTTCTTTTCGTCGGTTCACTGTTTTAGTTAATTAAATGAAAACACCGCACTTTTTAACATAAAAGACCATTTATTTTCACACACATTTGTAACATTAATTAGTTTATTTATAATTAGGTAATGTTTAGCCTTAAAGACTGATATTACACGCGTCTCAAATTTAAGAAGTTCAGTAGTAGTAGTAGTTTCGTCCATCGGACAGGCGAAGGAACTAAGCCATACAGCCAAATCTTGGGTAGATTTCAAGAAGACCACCAAAACGGCAAAACTTTTTAAATTCAGTACTTTGCTGCGCAAACGAATTACTTACAATTATATGCCTTTTAATCTGAAATTCTATTTAACTATACTTATCCAAAATAGTAGCATAGTTAATCAGGTCAGAGGAAATGAAATCTCTGTAAGCTAGGAAAATTAAAAAGTTTCTAGATGCTATCAAGCAGAAAGATTTACTGTGATTCTGGTCTAAAATATATTTTAGGTAGTTCGCAGTAAGTACAGGTCCACGCAGATCTGCGTTGCTTTATAACCTAGAAATGTAATAAGCTTTTTTTAATTATTTGTAGGTTCAAGTGGTGTTCCCAACCATTGTAACCGGAAACATGGAACAGTTCGTCTCCAATCCCGAGGAGTTCAGGCCGGAGCGGTGGCTGCAGGGCGATGGCCGCTTGCATCCGTTCGCTTCGTTGCCGTACGGGTTCGGTGCCAGGATCTGTCTGGGAAGACGGTTTGCGGACTTGGAAATACAAGTGTTATTGGCGAAGGTATTATTCTGATTGATTCCTATATTTTTTATTCGTCATGAATACACAGCATTGAAATGAAACGCCTGAAGTATCTTATTGTTAACAAGTCACGGCCTTTGTCCTAGAATGGCAATCTGATCTTGCCTGACATAATTCCAATACACTATTTATTAATTATTATTATTGTTCCAGTTGCTCCGTCGGTATCGGCTGGAATACCACCACGAGCCGCTTGACTACGCTGTCACGTTCATGTACGCGCCGGACGGACCGCTGCGTCTGCGCATGATTCAACGATAACCGTTTAAATGTTAAAATTATCTAACAGATAAATAGATAACACTTTGTTGTAAACACGAAATAATAAAGAAAACAAATATAATTATATTTCATATTCGACGGTCTTCACCGGGATCTTGGCAATAACACATTAAATAGATTTTGAACTAGTGATAAAGCACGCGTAGTTGTCTTAATTAATTTTAAAACTATAATTTAAGGCTATTAAAAGTTACATTTTAGATTAACATGTATACAAATTTCATATTTCCCGTGATACCAATTCTGTTGTACAAACTAGATTGAGTAAGACGAATCCAAATCGAGATGATTGATTGTAATTTTTTAAGTAAGATTACTTAAGAGAGTAGTACAACAGAATTGGCACCGCCAGTTTCAAGTTCCGAGTCACGACCGCCCAACTCGAATCTAGAAATAATTTTTTGATCATAGATGAATGTCAATGATTTTTTATATGCATATAATAGATACATTAAACTTATATACATATACAGAAAAAATTACATACACAAAAATATAAAAAAGAAATAAACGATAAAATGATTTCGTAATGCGTCCGCTCTAGCGCAGTTAAATGTCGTCATAATTTTTTGTTTAATGTGAATCTCGATGGTTGTTGATTATTATTTTTTACTTTTATTTTATTATGACAAAAATATTTAATTATATTGTTTTAACTAATGCATATCAGTTACATAATTAACAATGTGAAGACTAATATAAGTGTAAATAAATATATTATGTACTCTTTAAAAAAGGAGTTTTATTTTTTTGTTATATACATCAACGACAGATAATCTTGTTTCCTAAACTCAAAATTCCTTCTGCTTGGCGGCGATATGAAAGTTTTTATAGTTGACGGGACTGTGACGGGTTTCTCTTGCGGGAAGATTGAAATAGTTCAAACAAATAAAAAAAAAAAAAAAAAAAAAAAAAAAAAAAAAAAAAAAATAAAATAAAAAAAATTTATTTCAAGACCAGAAATGATGTAATCATTTGTAATGGACTATTTCTTTTAGATAAAATAAATATCTGTACCAGAAATAGTCCGCTCTATGCAAATGACACAAAGATTGTCATTTGCATAGAGTAGATCTCAGTGTCAATATATATATATTTTTTTTATCAATTTTGCATTAACAATGCTATTTTGAAGTTCAGAGTCAATATACAAAGAGGCTCTTTTAAGTATTTTTCATTAAGAAATGTTTTGTTTCAAGTTATTTACGATTATGCTCGGCGTTAGGGATATTGGGATTCAGACCTTAAGTTGTTATTTGACAAACATATTGAATACGTTGCCGATAAATCTTATAAGGCTCTGAGGTTTTTGATTAGATCTTTTAAACCGTATGAAAAATTTGAAACGCTCAAAATATTGTATTATACTTACTTTCGAAGTCATCTTGAGTATGCTTCTCAGATTTGAAAACCAGGATATGACATACTCAATAGAAATTTGTGCGCTTTATTTCCACCCGTTTTAAGAATTCAGCTTTAACCTACGAACATCATTGTCCAAGTTTTGTTTCCTACTTTACATGGCTCAAGGAAAGATAGATAGTCTGAAACTATTGAGCAAAATTTTGATCAAAATCTTGAACTTAAACCTTCGTCGGAAAAATATTTTGCTTCGCACTCTTTTTGCACGTTGAAATTTAGGATTAACATCATATGAACTACAATTTTGATCGATGAATTTTGTATTGACAAAGTTGAATTATTATAGTTAGATTAGAACTTTTGAATATGTTAAGTTAACAAAGATTGTATAAAGTTACCTTGAAAGTACAGCTCTAGTCATCGCTGAACATGTCTTTAGCATATTTTGAAAATGTCTAAACGAGTTTACAGTGGATAGTTTATATGCATAGAGATGTTATCTGCTTTTGTAAACTTAAATAATACTAATACGGAAGCTCGTAATTAGCTTTTTATATAGATGCAATAATATTGTAAATAGTGCTGTAAGCTCCTCAAAAAGAATAAAATAAATATAATATTATAATGAAATGATTGAAATCACTAAAAGTACCTAAGAAATCTATGCGATCAATAGAATTTGTTTTTAATAATAATTGCTAAATCTGTTCCAATATCGGAAATGGGGGGGGTGTAGTAATATATCACGTGTATTTATTTTTTCCTCGACGCGCGATTATTAAACCGAAAAGCGACATCAAAAATTAAGATTTTTTGTTTTTTTTTTAAATACGCTGATTTGGTTAAAGGAGGGAGGGGTAGTCTTAAACCTCACCATGTATCACCAAGGGGGAGGGGATTAAAAAATGTTGAAAAAACATCACGTGATTAATGGAGGGCCTCTAAGATGAGATACGTATCTTATGGCTGGAGAGTTACGCGGTCGCACCTGACTGAGGTTTTACCATGATTTTATTGTATTGTACTGATTGTGAGTTACTTTTTTTAAATAACAGAAAATTTGTTTCACTTTTTCAAGCCATGCTTTTATAAATTAATGGCATAACTAAAATAAGAGGCTTCCGTCAGCTCAAAATCCGTCTCATCCAATCAAGCCCATTACGAAACAGGGACAAATAGCTCAATTATGTAGTGTTGACTCTTTTTATAATTGTCTGTTTTGATAGCTTTTCTTTTATTTTATATGTAGAGTTGGTTGTGTTTTTTAATTTGACGTTTGGTATTCAATGATAATAAAGGGAGTCTTTGAATTCTATCAGCACATTCATAGCCAACGTTCCTGGTGGTAAATTATAGCAAATACACACTCATAAAAAACACTATTCGGTAGGCGTTACAGATATTTATTTGATCCATAATTATTCCTATTCTAGATTTGATCAAGTTATAACAGTATTTCGTCATAATAATATGAGACTAGAATTGTCGATTTCTCAACCGATAAATAAGAGACTGAATGGGTCAAGAACTCATTTCAAAATCCTTCAAAAATTAAAAATGATCGAACAATAAATTAAATAAGTCAAATGTATTTTTATAAAATAATTAAAATTATAAAAAAGGTTTCAGATGTAAACACGCTGGAACTTTGAAAGTATTTTTATTTAATAGAAGATCTTATAAGGTTTCGATACCTTCGGCGTGGAACAGCGGTCTTCGGGCTGACCTGTGCTTCGCCTCCATGGAGAGCGACATCTCTAGATTTTAGCGTTTATATAACATATACGTTAGCTTGAAAAAAAAAACATTCTATGAGCTCATAAATCATGCGATGCAATTTCAATCTGAGAAGAATATACTCAGCCACGATTTTATTCAAACTAAAAAAACAGGTTACTCAAAATAGCCAAATGTGGAACAATGCACTTTTAAGACAATAGTTTTCCATCTAAAACGCGATAAATTGTCATCCGATAATGATATTGGATATTAAAAAATATTCGCCGGCCAATTTAGAAACGACGAAAGCAATTTTCTTATAATCAAGCCTGTGGTTTATATGATGCTATCTAAAGGCAACTTGTTTTCCCTTGCTAAGGAGTTTCACATTTTCTTTCCAGTATTTCTACTCGTGGTACCCATGCAACCTGTTTATTTGAGAATGTTGTGTTTGTGTGGCGTAATATAAACCAATCGTAGGTTGGTTTAGGACCCTTATATACTATGATTACATCATGATTATAAAAAATAATAGTAAAAAACGAACTTAACATTATAATTTGAGCACAGTTTACAATTTTATCCTGTATGTAGATGTAGAAGTGTGTAGCTATCATTCCATAATATAAAACGAAATCGAGTTATTTTGTCTGTAGGATCTTTTAAATTATCCCAGCATATTTTTAGTTTTCATCAATATACAGAGTGATTCAAGATGACAGATGTGGTTCTCTATTAAACGTATAAACCTTACTCCTTCCAGGATGAAGCTTATAACTAAACTAGTTTTCCTTTATTGGAAAACTAGTTTAGTTATAAACATATAATAAATATTTATACACTATATAACAGCCGCGAACTTGACGTCGAGCGCAGAGCTATTAAAGCATAGAGTTCAACCAAATAAAACCTACTTCAAAACGTTTACTTTCATTGATAGGTACTCTATGTCGACGATGAGCCTGTTTTATAACATAATAGAGAGCTCTATTTACAAGTAGGTTCGTGCCACCGCTGGCTGTACTGTTGAATAACACCGTAAATGCCATTACAATAATAGAGCTATGAAAACGTCTCGTTTGCATACTCCATTGACACTTTCACGTTCCTTCATTCATATAATATCTCAGAGTCACGAAATGAAAGTAACTATCTAAGTACGCAGTAAAGCTTAATTTTGTTTGACGAGTGAAAGATCTCAGTGAAACTTTTGGACATGCAAATTTTCTGGTTGTCGTTACATTGAACTTAATGTTGATTGTTTACTGCATTTGAAACATTTTAGAACAGTAACCGGTAAAGTGTAAGTCGTATATGTGCAATGAGGGTTCCGTATGAATTTATAAATCATCTACTTCTTATAGACTGGTAAGACTTTATTTTTAATCATCCCATAAGGTCCCGAATATAAAATCCATTCGACGAATTTATGCGAATACTTGTAACAACAATGACTATAGTAGTTTTATTGTTAATAAGTTATAACAGATTTAATGATCAAACAGACTTAAAGGGAGTCATTAAAGTGCAGTAGGACAGAGTGCTATACAGATTCATAGAATGCTATGGAAAATCCGTTGCGTACCGTGCGTACGTTGCGTGCTCGTGGACAAAGTCAATATTACCTTAAAGTGTATTCACTTGGAGGTGAGTGTATTCACTTTGCCTAGGGAATCGTCATTACCAGAGTTACCCTGATTATTGTAATAATTTTAACGAAATTTTCGCTCGATACACTTATTTAATAACCTTATGATCAGAGGTCGGAATTAGGTAGAGTTATTTATGTACTTGCATCGAAATGTTGATATTAATGTGGACCTTCCCGGGATTTCTAATGGACAATCTTGAACATCTTTGGACATCCGATGTCATTGATGTAAGTTTGGCAACGTCGTGCGTGCAGTAGTTTAAATTGTGTAAAAGTAAATAACTTTTTATTTAAAAAATCACGGGTATTTTTCTGCTCTTTAAAATTAATCTCGGGAATCTCTCACTTTATTCTTTCGCTGTATGAAATCAGTGTAAGTACATGAATAACTCTACCTAATTCCGATATGCTTATGATACATAACTTCATTTAATATGATTACTCTAATTCGTATAATATGCACCGAAATCACGTGTATTTTAGTATCTACAATAAATCTTATTTTTTAGCGCCGCTTTTTGGTTAAGTAAAAGACGGTATATATTATTACACCTCCCCTCCTCCCTTGTGATATTTCGTGATTTTTGTTCGTCAGAACACCATAAATATACTTAATAATTATTTTTATATAATTGCAAGGGATGTATGGGAGTACATCATTACCAAGTCGCTTCAAACCGACCCTACTTGCACGTGGTCACCCTGCTGATTAACGGAAGGGCTCTGGCGAACCGATTGATGGGATGACCATATTTATTATACGCAGCTCACCGCGAAAAATACCCAAGGCTGGTGAAGCCGCAGCGTCATCAGTGCAAAGACTGCGTCCTGCGATCGCCTACACGCATGCCCGATGTGGTGATTATGGGCAAATAAATCCATGGCTGCGCAAAACTTATTGAGGGCCCTAGTTCCCGGCCGCCCTGCTATTCTCGCTTGGAGAGGCTTATCTCAGCGAAGAGCCAATACGGGCTGATGATGAAATTAATTTACCCGATGATTTTTTTATCGGATAATCGGTTCAGTAGTTTCCGGGCCTTTTCAAACAAACATTTCCTACTTACAATATCAGTATGGTTTGATTACAATAAGTATTCAGCAAAATTAAACATTACTGAATATGTAAGTCTAAAGCCGAATATTCGTGGTAATCCAAGTCTAGTAACAGCTGTATAATTACAGGAAATGTATACAAAGTATCCAAGTCTTGCGAAAATTCTGTGCAATGCGAGTCCGCGTACTCTTATTAAAAACGCACGCAACGAATTTGTAGCGTCCGTCTTGTGTCCGTGTCCATTATACGCACGGCGACTATTTTGATAATTATATTTTTATCTCCGATTCATTATTATAAAAATGATAAATCGCAGCTTATAAACAAAAGGGCCACAAAACAAAATTTTACAAAATTACTTTTATTAAACAAATGGGGCAAGAATCTCTTATATTTTCTTATTTCCCAAAAATACCAATCAAAATTGACTTCTTAATTACGAAATTACACATCCGCAAAATTGCGCTTTTCACATTATTAGAGAATAATTTATAAACAAAACGCCAACTCTTTAGTTGCAACCCGGCATTCAGGGTTTGTTTTGTGTTAAAGGGCGACATTTGGGAATGCGTCTGTTTTGATTATGAAATCACTTTAGTTTTAAATACTATACTGTCATATTTTTATGTCCGTTTAGTAATAAAAAATGCCTAATATGCTGTTATTTTTAAAGCTAATGAAACTTTTTTTGTGAAACATCTGTTTTATTTAACTTATAGTTGCGCTATCGCACTTTCATTAAAAACTTTGTGGCAATTTCTAATTTTAGTTTTGGCAAAATACTAGCTTTGATGACTGACTGTCAGAGTCGATTCCTATCTATCAAGTACCGGTACACAACCTTCTGTTTATACAGATTTTAGGCATTACTGATTACAGATACTTCAGTATTTTAGGCATTAAACTAGATTATAAACTTAAGTGTGGCCCACATACTGATAAATCGTCAAACAGACAATTCTGCAGCATGCCGTAATGAAGATTTGCAGGTTAACTGATATATAGATACTGCCTGATTAGTATACTGCATCTACTTTAATAGTGTTATTGGTGTATAGTATTATAGTAGTAGTTATGTCGTACAGAATTATGTTATGGGGAAATGCTGCCGACATACAAATGATGTTGTGATTCAGAAGACAGCTATTAGATCAATTTACAATCCAGGATTAGGGACTCTTTAAGGGAAAAGTTTTAAGAAATAGATATAACGGCTGTTGCTTGTCCGAGAGCTTTATGTTAGTTCTATAAATAGTAATGTACACAATTTTTCATACTAGAAATAAAAATTAACGGAGCCATGATTAGCCTACAAAAAGTTAATAATTAAGGTCTCACTCTACAGGTCTCTTTGATGGTCTCGCAACTAGATAAGTGGTTTCTTCTAATAAATAATTAAATTATTGTTAATAATGGCATTATTAAATTATTATATTATCATTGTAAGATTTTTTCCCCTTTTATATTAAAATTGTAATGTAGAGTGACTTCGTAGAGTGATTTGGTTTTTTGTGAGTGTCGTGACCCCCATTAGAGCTGGTGAGTTTCTTGTTCGTTCTTCTTATAAGTCAATAAACATTCAGAACGAGTGGTAGGGAAAAGTATTAGACGATTCAAAATAACTTTTATGAAGTTTATTCAAATAAAATATTGTTTTTTTTTACTCTTACTTTGAAACTAAGCAAAATTTTATAATGATAGTAATAAATCGTATACATTTTTATCGAAATCAAAGAAGCAATTTGATACCAAACAAATGGGGCTTGTTTGTTTTGATAAATGTAAGCTAAATGTTCTACTAAATAACAGAACTAACTAAAATACAAAAACGAAGAGTTCCAGATACAAACACACATGGTAATTTTAAGTTAATATATAAAAATGTGATACTAAATTATTACGATTTTTTTAAACTAATTTATAAATCTAGTAAAGATTTATTGCTTTTAAATACTCGTATAAAACTTAATTTATTATTAGAAGCAGTATAATATTTTTTAAATTTATGTATATTTTAATATGATGCCAACATACTTTTTTGACATAAAAGAATTATTTTTGTTATAATAAAAAAATGGCAATATGCAAATAAAGGGCATATTTTAAGTTATATTTTCATTAAAAGTTTTTATGAAAGTAACAATACTATAAATACATTATTAATAAAACATGTTTATTATTTTGATTTGTGGCTTCTTATTCCAAATATTATATTATCCGTTAGAAATATTTTATATGCTAAAGAAACTTATTTGCTACTTACTATCTTTGAGTTATCAGAAAGTTAAAATAAATAAGAGTTAGGGTATTAAAAACGCTTCAATTACGAATAAACTAACCGATAACTTTCACCTTGCTCTTCTCAAAATTTCTTAATTTCGACAAAATGTCAGTTTGATATTTTGTAAAAGCTCTGGTGTCGTAAGAGCAATACAACATTTTTCAGATATCTAAAAATATCTGGGCGGGATGCTGTCGAATTCGTGACAGGTTTAATAATATATTGTGTATTGTTTTTGGGTAAAACCATAGCAAACTAATCCACTTCCGAATAAAAGAAATCTTAAAGCTGTTCATACTTACTCTACAGACCTGTAGAGTAGTCGAGTAAGACAGGATCTTACTCGAAAGTAATAGGAAGTAAAAAGGAAAGTAATACGAGTAGGTTAGTTGATATCCCGAAAACCAGCAAGTAAAGCAATGAAAATTGAAGTGGATTTTTTTATGGGGTAACATTTTGATACCCCATAAAAAAATCCACTTCAATTTTTGCATTGTTTTACATTGTTTTACTCGTATATTTGATTTGTCATTGTAATAAATCTATCTAATATTAATTGATATTTGAGTACAATTTATAAAAAAATATATATATTTGAATATACATATCTGGAAATATTCAAGTATAAAGCATTTTATAACGAGAAAAAACGTACGTTTACGTTTCAGTAAGAAAATAATGTGTGTTTTTAACGTATTCGATTTTTATTTTTGGTAGAAAGCTTACATGAAAACAAATAACTAAAGCACACAACACAGTAAGCAACTTCTAATTATATTAGAATATAATTTTTAAGTATTTAGTTAAGACCGACGAATTGACAGAAATATTATTATATTCATAAAATTTAATTATCGTTTGTGAAAAATATTAAATAAGGGTTCGAAAGCCGTTAAGAGACTATGGACACGCGTCATATTTGTTTATAGAAAACAAGAGGCGAGTCCTACGTTTCGGCGGCACTCGTTCAGTAACCACGCGACTGTCTTCACAATAACAATAGAGGGCGCTTGTATTATTATATTCTTCCCGTAATTTTATTAAATTTTAAACAGTGATTTATGACTGTGAGAAGTGTTATGTGATTAAGTTTTATTTCTATTGGTTAGTATATAATGCTTTGTACTTTCTCATATTTTAAAATTACCATAAGAAAAAAACATTTTTTTTTATCGAATAATAAGAAATCTAACACACATATAATTAACTTAAAAAGATCTCTCTATTTTTTTATCCAAAGAGTGATATTTTAAAAGTAATTAATCTAAGGAAAAGTTATTTTTTCCTTAAAATAATAAGAGTGAAATCATATTTTTTTTTTATTTTCTTGCTGATTTTCTTCTCAGTACAAACAAAGTTTCCCGCCCATAGATTTACGAAATAGTGGAATAGTATTTCCACATTGCCAAGTGCTTGTAACAGTCTAGAATGAATAATGTAACTTACTATGAATTTAAGTGAGTTTGAAAAAATAAATAGACGAAGAAATAGGTACCTACACTGAAAAGTTTTTATATAACCAATTAGAATGTCTTCAAATTATTTCGTACGTAATTGTGACTCACCCATCAGAGAATTATGTACATAAGGAACTACTCGGGAACCACTTCTTGATGCAAAAACTTTTTCACATCGTCGGGTTAAGTTAATAAACTATTATGTACTAACTCAAATTCAATATTGTTTGTTTAGTCTAGGCTGTTGCAAGGACGTCTAAAAGTCGAAAGCTATGCTATCGACTTGCAAATCTATTTCGGGAGACCTAGTAATGAAGTGAACCGGGAAAATACTCAGCTAGGATTGATATTTTGTCTCTGATATTTTATTTCGTACGGAGTGCAAGTGAAAATTGACTCGGTTTCTAAATTGAGAATTTTAAAGTTAAGAATGTCTTAAACTCTACTTAAACGGATTTTCTGAAATTACGGGTATTAATCTGATCTTTTTCTGATCTGACTTCAAACTTTACAAAAGTCCAATACATATCTATAATAATAATATTGAAACGAAATGTTTTTGATCGTTTTGTTTGTTTACATTGATTAAGCTTCGAAATTCGTTTCAGTGCGATCGTTAAAAAAAGCATTTACGGAAAGCTAAGTCATACGCGGGGCACATAGACTATAATTTACATGTGCGAAGTCGCGGGTAAACAACTAGTCTGATAGTAATTGGTTCGCAATTCGCGAAGCAATTCCTATTAACATAAAAAATATACATACTCATAGAAAATCTTCGTTTCGGATTTTGAATGAATGTACTACAAATATTACATAAATATTCTTCTAAATAATTTTGTAGTATTTCGAGAAATATTTTGTTTTCTTATAAAGCAAAACTATCATTTTAATTCACTAAAATTCATATTGAATCACATCGGGCTACACAATAAAATAAAAAATCTAAATCGGCTCACAATTCGCGGATGAATCAGCGAATATAAATAAAAAAAAAAACATACATCGCCGTGGAACATATAACTTACTTTAAAAGGTAGGGCTTTTTGGCTTGTGAAACGTTAAAAAAACTTAATCTTCCATACATTGCTCAGATTCTAAATTATGTAACTAAAGCGCTAAAACTAAGATTATGGTAAGCTATAACAACAAAAGTATCACAACCGCATGACCCGAGACGATATATAAAAAAGTTCATATTCTACACTGACCCTGCTAGGAACCAAAACCTCTAAGACCTCTGAGATGACGACGCTTTGATTTGGCGGGCGGAACACACGGCCACGGACGTCGTAAAAATTATAAACATTGACCTTTCACGATTAAATTAATCGCGTGCACAAGGTGATCTCAGAAGCCATAAAAACCGGCGAGTGGGTATGTATGAAAAGAGTAATGAAAGTGGATGAGGCGAAAGGTGTAGGTAAGGACCGTACATACATCATTGCGTTCGGTCCTCTGCCTACCCCGCAAGGGGTACGGCGTGAAGATATAAATCTTGTATTAAAAAATTGCAGCAAAATTTATAGACACAGAAAATAAACCCCTTCTTAATATAATTTACCCCAGGAACAACCAATTGGTCCATATATTACAGTTGGTCCATATATTACAGTTGGTCCATATATTAATATCACTCAATTAATGACAGGGCACTTTCTTGAGTTACTAAGAATTATTTACATTAAAGAAAAATCTAAAGAGTTCACCAAATGCAAAGAGAACTTATCATAAAAAAAAAACATAAAACAGACAATATTTATGCAGTTAATAAATTAAGTCTATTTCACATATGTACCGTTATTTATGTGAGTGCTACGTTCGGTTACCGTATATCAATATTTGGCGTGGTATTGATATAATTTTTAGCGAGTTCGTGTTAATAACTACTAGGTACAGTCAATAAACATATGTAATATTTTCTGTACACTATTATAAACTTAATTGATTGTTTACTTAATTCCAAATTGAAAGCGAGAATCGGAATTTGGTAGTGGACATTATGGTGTACATACGTCATTTAAAATATATTTCAGGATTAATTTTACAATTTTTTAAGAAATGTATTTGTAATTATTTATTGTAGACCCGCCAATAATGTAGGTACATATCAAACAATCATTCATTACAGATTATTCGGATATCTTCATCAATTACAGGCATGTACAGAATTCAAGGTAATATAAAAAAACAACAACAATTAAAGTTAATTAAAAAACAACAATTAATCTCAAAGTAACGGATATACACATATATATAACCAAATAGTAAAAAAGAGTAAAAGAACATTATAACCGTTACCTTAATTCTGCTAGATTTTGCACGGCGGTCACATCTTAACGGAATTTTTGATTTTGTTATTCACCTGAAGTCCAATATTATTGGTGAAAAGTCTTTCTGAAAAATTAATAGTGACGGATACATTTATTATGTTCTGATCTAATAACAAGAACTGTGTCATAGATGTTTGCAGTTGAAGCGCTTATGAATTTACATGGTTGCGCTGGCATTGGCAGAATTGCCCTACTGGTTTTATAAATGAATGAGTTGTTGTTGTCGCAATGATGGCCGGTGCCCGGTGATGGTGTAGGGCTTATTTTTGTATTCAATTATATATAAAAGAAACTGTTCCAGGAGCTCTATGTTGAGTATGTACGTTGAGTGAGTATATACTGTATGTTGAGTGTCTGTATATCGTCTATGAAGAGTCAATAAATAATAACTGCAAAAATGCAACTTTTCAGGAGACGAAAGAAACGTTTCAAATCTATTATATTGTTTTTCAGTACATTGCAATTATTGTTTATCTTACAAAAATTATATAAAAAAATAAGAAACGAACCCAAAATCTTTGTCACTATTGTGTAGTAATCTATTTTACAACGAATAATTCAATAAAACAAAAATTAACAAAATGTCAGTTATTATTTATTAATTCTTCATGGGCGATATATCAATATTTATTGGTTTTAAATTGTAAATAATGATCAGAGTCCATCTGTTTTAAGTATATATAAGTGGTTTACTTCAAGAAAGCTTGTAATTAGCCGTACTCTTTGAAAGCATTAATTTTTAATTCAAACTTTTGTAATGGCCGTTGGTTTTCTTACAATAGAAGATATACTGAATCTCTTGCAGGGTAGGAGGAGAGGATCATGCGCACTAATCCATGGTCCGTTACTCTTTTCATAAATTCTCCTTGGTTTATTGACTGTTTCACTGCCAATTAACTTCCTATAGAACGTGATTGATTTGAATATATCCTAAGGTATCACAATAAAATATTTTATCAATTTTCCGCTTTCAAACAGCTACAATTGAGCGTGTCCGATATCTATCCTTATGACGAACAACGTTAGGTAACGCACTTATTACTTAACCATATTAACCAAGCGTTTAAAGGAGCTAACCAGTGAACTGGATTTATTGAATGTTACAAACAATGCTGGCATTTTATTACTAAATAGCTGTTTTCCCGCGACTGTGTTCGGGTAAATTAAATGTCTATTTCACCCGTATTTGATGCAGTTTCCCTTAGATGTTAAAAACATCAATAACTCATTCAGGGGTCTTTGTGTTTGTTTCTACAAAAAGGTCCCAAGCAAAATACAACAATTACATATCATGCAGTTTAAATCTACTTTAAAAAAATACTTATTAAAAAAGTTTATTACAAAGTATCCGATTATATAACAGATAAGAATGCTTGGATTTAAGATGATCCAGCAACTGGGTAGGTGGTTTCTTCTTAACTCATTATATTTCTTGTTGACATTATTATTATGTTGTCATTATGAGACCATAGCTTTTTTTATCTCTATTTATAATGTAGTGATCTGGTAATGACATGGTTTATGTGAATGTCATTACTGCTATCAGAGCTGGTGAGTTTCTTGTCCATTCTTCTTATCAGCCAAAAGACGTCCTGAACGAGCGGTAGGGAAAAAATGTTGGACGATTCGAAAGTGCTTTTAAGAAGTCTATTTGAATAAAGACTATTTAGACTTTGACTTTGATGAAAGTTTGGTGCTACAATAGTTAATAATATAAACAACGATCTCGAAGGTGTTTTGGCCCTTTAGGTCGAGTGATAGGTTAGAAATTTAGATTATAGTTTTTTTTAATAGATAACAAAAAAAATATTGAATAAACAATGTTGTGTTTCACCGACTCATTTTGGAAATCGCATCTTGTTTAGGTAGTTTTAACTGTTACATATCCATTGTAAAACCTCCAATTTACACACAAGATATTAATGTTATGTGAATTATATAGTTAACATTTTCCCTTTGTATAAAATCACGAGTAAAGTTCAAGTGAAACTCTCAAGTAGATAATTAAGATGATTTTTATATAATTAAAGGATTTTTGATGAAAAGAAACAAGTGCTTATTTATATATATTTAATTTAGTAGTGCTTTTTCGCTACTACAAAGCATATTTTCATCAACGTTCATGCAGTTCACCCGACCATTCGAAAGAAATATCCGAGAAACAAACTCCCGATAAAATATAAGTGGTTCAAAATTCGTCAGTCCTGTAAGGTTCTGGGTAGCTCAGTGATTAGAAAAGTCACCCGGTTTGGGAAAGGTCATGTGTTCGAGTTCTATTTCAGAGTCAAAGTGGATTGTTTAGCATTTTTCATCAAGAATATCAGTAATTTTCCGCGGTGTTGTCAATATATGTATGGTGTATTTTTTTAAATATAGTTTAGTTACAACCATAGATTCTTCAAACTATATCAGTAGCAGTGTATGTTTTGAGTGGGGGCCCTATTACAAAATCACTTTCTTTCAATTTGAAAAAAAAAGAAAATCCAAAAACTGCGTTAATTATCGTCTGTCATCTGTATACATTATATACAGATGGTTGTTAATGTTTCCACTGCCCCTGCCTTCAGCATAGCGATCCGTGAAAATTATCTGTGAGAATTTTCTTAAGTTAGTGTAAAACTTCTATTGATTCCATTTTTTTGTATAAAAATAGATTTCAAAATTAATTGATTCATACGTATATCAAATATTAAATGTCACAAAACATTAATATATATTCGAGGTTAAGCGGATGTCGCTTCTAAAGTGAATTCGGCCACCTGAGTGAATTCAAATTCGGTAGGGATGATGACTGGGTAAAAAAAATGCAATTCTATTTAGTCCGTCAGTCAGATAATAGAAAAACATTAGATACGTATTTTTTTTACTTCAAATTAACAAGAGATAGCTTAGATAACAGGCATTAAAGTTGAGGAGTGGGGGCTCGCTCCGTCACAGTTGAGTAGAAAACGTACTCTAACGTGACGTCATGCGAAATTTCAACTCAATGTAACGCCGTAATTTTATGATTACGAAAATAATAAAAAAATACGTGTTTAATATTTTTTAACACTCTACCTGACGGACAAACGAACAAAAATTAGTCATCATCCCTATTATAACAGAATCGCTCTGCAGGCTTATGGATGGAATCAAATAAAACACCCATTGTGGATTAGTATTAACGAATGTAGATTTAGTTGAGACAAACGCCTTACATGCTTTCCGTAGCACGGTGGAGTTATAGTACGAGATGTATTAGTAAATTTTCGGTCACCAATTCTATGTGTGGCCTATGCGGAAGTTGCTTTACTAAAATCCTACATCGAGGTCTCTGTTTTATGTAATGAGGAGTAATTAAAAATTATATTTGGCGCATTATAGTGTAGTTATACACCCTCTTCTGTCTATATTTGTTTCATTAAAATTCAGCCTTTTATTAATCGATAAATTAATCATAAACATAGAAGTTTATGTATATACATAATCAAATTATACAGTGTTTAGTTAAAAATCTTTAATGGTATATTTAATCTGAGGTCAAATTTGAAATTATTTTAATTAATTTGAAATTATTGCTGCTTCAACCCAAAATCTGATACAGCAAGGTTTCTGATGTCGCAAGACGTAACCATATAATGTTTCTCGTGTATGAATGGATAGTTTAATAGTGTTGCCAAGATATTTATTATTATTATTATATTACGTAGCTATGTACATATATTAATAAAGTTATCGCACCATGTTTATTGAAATGTAATAATGCGAACTCCGATGGCGCATTGGATAAGATGTGGAAGTTAAGCCACTTTCGCAACGGTCAGTCATATGATGGGTGACCAACAAAATTTATTGTCTCTTGTTTCTTAGTGCTTCGGAAAGCGCAATAAACCTTTGCTTCCGGCTGCTTCTACAATCGTTAATATACACCAATCCGCATTGGGATCATCATCATACACAGCATGGATACTAATGATGTTTCTGCTGCTTTAGACCCACGTCAGGACCCGTATATAACAATTACTCTGACTTTAGCTATATCCCGGTGTAGTATAGTAGCTCGTTGGAGTGGATTAGCGCCGCGGCCCGTGATCGTTGTCGTTTAGAAACTTTCGCAAGGGTCGGTCACGGGATGGGTGACCAAAAAATTATTATCTCGAGCTACTCCGTGCTTCGGAAGGCACGTTAAGCCGTTGGTCCCGGCTGCATTTGCAGTCGTTAATACCCTCCAATCCGCATTGGGCCAGCGTGGAGGGTAATGGCCCATCCTCCTTAACCATTCATAAGGAAGGCCTGAGCCCCTGCAGTGGGGACGTAAAAGGGCTGATGATGATGATGATGCGCTGTATCCAACCTGACTTTATAAACAAAGGTAATGTTTAAATTCTCTTTAAAATAAGGACGGATAAAATATGATCACGTATTAACCTTTTTAATTTGTGTTCAGAAACTGACAATCAAGATGAGGCGCCGTTTATGTTGGCTGAATCACGATGCGGTGAATAATCGTACAAGACGTGTCACCACTACAGCACAGTATCACCAAGCTGATAGATTTGAACTAGGTAGATATATTATTATACAAACAAATTCTTTAGAGGAGACACATTGGCTAATGGCGGCTTTGTTGTTGAAGTCTACTGTTTAAGGTTTTCCTGAAGTGTTCCTAACTGTTCCTAGCACGCCCCACTCTTCTTTTTATGTCAGCGGCGTACCTTCAATACTTGCTAAATGCGCACATTTAAGATATACAATATCATTTACTTGTACTTGTTCCAGTACTACATCATAAAATCTTTGTTTGTTTTTACATTTACATTCAAATAAAGCCTTTCATCATTCAATTAAAGCCTTTCATCGTTCAATCATCTTTAATCACCGTGTCACATCACATCACTAATATATAATAATAGTTTGCAGATCGTATAGATTCCCAAACACCACGACATCATCAGCACATAGCATACAGCTAACAATTGGATCACTCATTCTCAAGTGCACATTCATAGCTCTTATTCTCTGCAGGCAACTGTTGAGGTACATGATAAACAGTCTTGCCGACTATAGGTAACCCCGTTTGACACCAATACTGACGCTAAATTAAAGTGTTATATTGTCATCACGCACACACTGAATAGTTCTAGTAGTAACGGCAGTCCTAAATCTCGGCAGTATGTGACAGAGTTTCTTTCATAGATCAGATCAGAACTTTCTCTAGAGTCCCGATCCGATCCCGACAACATTCCGGCTTGATACTTTTCCATGATGATGTGGAGTGAACTTGATCCATGCATCTTGTAACTTTCTTGATGCCTCTCTGTGCCTTCCACAGCAATCCATCGGATTCTAACTTAATTCTTTCAAATGGGCAGCTAAGATTCGATTATGGTTTTGATGTAGATGGCTAGACTCAGTCCAAACGCGAATACCTTCTTTTGTACAGTTCTCTCTGTCATAAAAAGGGTTTAAGTAGGTATCAAACTTTTCAAGAACATTTGCAATTTTTGCTACTATCAATATTATTAATTATTAAGTAACTTTGAAATCGATGTATCTATGTATACTAAAATAATTAGATATCGATTTTATTAAGTTAGTTGGAACATTTCGTAATTTTAAGCTCAGTGCTCATTGACATTTGCTTTGGTTTATATATCAAACTAGCTTTTGCCCGCGACTTCGTCCGCGTGGTAAAGTTACTTTGAGCAGCATTTCTAACGAATATTTATTTATTTGTTCCATTAGGTACTGATCGGTTCAAACTAATACATTTACATTCTCCATCATCCCTTACTTTATCTCCATGGGGGTTGAATCTATCAAAATCCTATTCAAGCGGACGTCTTCATCATTGTAGCTCCAATCTTTAATTTCAGTTCAATCAGTCGAAAATCTGAGAAGATTTATACTAATTTTCATCCCCTATTTTATACCCTTAGGGGTAGAATTGATCAATATCCTTTCTTAGGAGATGCCTACGTCAGAGAAGCTTTATGCATGCAAAGTCTCAGCCCGATCGGTTTAAAATTGTCAAAGGTTCATACAAAATAATAAAATCTTTGTTTGTTCCTTTATTTTATCCCCTTGGGGGTAGAATTGATCAAATTCCTTTCTTAGTGGATGCCTACGTCATAATATCTACCTGCATGCCAAATTTCAGCCCAATCCGGCCAGTGGTTTGAGCTGTGCGTTGATAGATCACTATGTCAGTCAGTCACCTTTGAGTTATATATATTTAGATAAATTATCTCAAAAAAAAAATAGTATGTTTAAGAAAGCGTTGGATTAATATATAAAGTAACCTTCTTTATTAAGAAAGTCATATTTAATCGTCGCGTATGATAAAAGTGAAAGTAATAAATTCAGTCTTAGTAACAACCGCTTGCACGAATTATCGTGTAACTTAAGTCTGAGCTTCGGTGCCGCCCAAGAAATTGCAATAACCGGTTTGAGGGAGATTATAATTTATTTAAAATCCATTTTATGATAAAGAGAGTTATTGAAGCAGGTGTAAAGATTGTTTGAATACCTTCTGCATCGTTGATAAGTATGGATTTATAGCAAATGACATCAACCCCAGAGGTATGTTTTTAATTATTGTGTGGATGACATTGTATTATATGCATACCTCTGTCTGCGATTAAGGGTCGATTATAAGATATAAACTAGAAGCATCTCGAATATCTCCGTACTTCGGAAGGTACAATAAGCTCTTCCAAAGTACTCATCAAGCGGTTCCAAAGTAACATAAGTTTTATTTAAGTAACAATGGATTAATTAACAGGCCGATGTTAATGATGAGACACTTGGTGGCTTATTGGTTAGTTTATTAACTTTTGCAAGGACTGTTTTGTAGGATGGGTGGCTAAAACCTTATAATCTTTGTTTCGGAATTAGCGATTGGCCTTTATAGCTGACTGCATCTGTAGTCTACGTAGTCATTAACATAAACCAAACTACATCCGATTCGATTTAATCCATGGGAAAGACTCGTGTCCCAGTAATGGGAATATATGCTAATAATAATGATAATTCTGTTGAAGGTTTGAACGGCAAACAGCCTACATGTCCAGTTCACCAGCGGCTTCGGTCCACACACGCAGCGCTGGATACTACAGTATTCGACGTCAAGTCGCCAATCAAGTCCTGGGAAGAAGTGCCTGGACCTAAACCTTTGCCGCTGCTGGGTAACACGTGGAGATTTGCCCCTTATATAGGTAAGCTTGATTTCACAGTATCTATATAAAAACAGCGAAAAGTTTCGATGGATATTGGTTTGGAAAAGTTTTAGAATAAGCTTGCTTGCTTAGCTTGGTAAATGGTAACAGGCATGGAAAAATGTTACGATTTGTAATTGTGCTTCATCTGCACTGTTTGTGGACATATTTCTTTCTGCATGAGAACATTTCAAAGGCTAATGTGTGTAAAATATTTTTTTAGTAAAATGTTTTTAGTTATGAAATAGGGTAGGGGTTGATATCTGTTTTGTTTAAATAAACTGGATATTAACGCAGTAACTTGAATTTTTGGTACTTTCCCAATAGGGCTGTGTGTGATTTTTTTTATAGTAATTTATATACTATGATTCGTTCAATTACCGAGTGACATATTCTTAATTTAGTTTACTTAATTATGTTATTTAAATAATATTCTGGGCGTGTACTTTTGGAATCGACATTCAATGTGTCGTGGATAGTTTCGTAAGCTATCTCGCTCTAACTTACGTATTTTTAATACAATACAGGACAAAGAACGATAAAATTAACGATGTATCAGAAATGGCTTCTAAAGGAACCTACTGACCTACATTTTGTGTCTTTATATTGGGATAAGTTTGTTTCTTTATTGTGACATTTTGAAATGTTGTTTTTTTTCAATGTTTATTTTGTTGATGACTGAAATATACGAAGAATCGTGTTCCAACAGAACTAACAATTAAATTAATCATGATAAATAAATACCGTATACATACTGTTGATACAACTGCAAGGTTTCAGAGTTTAATTGATGGTAAAATTTTATGGACAAGATGGTTTGTAACTCACACGTTGCGTAACTAACAACAATGGTGCATCAATCATGATGAAATGTAAAGTCTGAATCACATCAGCCAGGCGGCGTGGGTATATTTTTAAACAATACTATATTTTGATTATATTTTTAAACGTGACAAAATGCGTTTGAATAATTATTGGTTAGTATGAGAATTTTTATGGTAACCATAGGAATAGGGAAAATGTGTGAAGTGTTTTTAGGGTCGGTACTAATCAGTTTGCGTTAGTACGTCACGGAGTTTCCGCCCGTATCCTAAAAGTTCTGACAAGGTCAAATGTTCCGACGATGCAAGAAATAAATTATAAATAAAAAATAAATTCTCCCACACTTTTCTTATATATTTTTAATTTGTATAAGTTCATTATCATTTAAGGCTTGTTTTCTCATTTTTTTTTTTACAGAAAGAAGACAGTTTGTACTATAGGAAATAAAGTGTGTTATATATTAACACAATTTATTACCGACAATACAACTTTTGTGGTGATGTTTGATGTGATTATTTTTACAGTGGCAGAAATTAAAGCTTTTATTTAGGTCGATGAACGATTCAATGTAGATAATGCACGTGATGCGTTTCCGTTGCGGCCGTTGGCACAATTCTAGAACCGGCTTTATACGTAATCGGTTCAATGTCAAGTGAATCGCCGTTGACATTGTGGGCACGTCTTTTGATGAAAATTTTAACAATTACACAATTATACGAGTACGAAATATATGATTTTCTTATAGGTGGGATTACATTACTTTTTACTATATTACTTTTAAAAAAATCGGTTAACAATTTATCGGGTGATTAAATCTACTGTTTATTTTTATATAATCGAACTTTTGTCCATAATCATACATAGTTCATACTTCTTTAGCTGTCAACATAATGTCTCGTAAAATTCTACTGTTTGCTACTCTTTAACGTAAAAACTTTAGTACACGGATAATTCTAGCTATGAATTAACATATAGTCATGAAGCTTTTTAACAAATTAACAGGTCCCTAGGGATAAATGTGATCGTGTATATCACCAGCTAGTAAATTATTCAGTTATTATTTACTTTATAATTATGTATTTTTAAAGGTTGGCGAATTGAATTACTCGCAAACTAAGTACCTATTACAATTGTTTTGAAAGTGCTACGAAAAAACTAAAATTAATACAAGAAATGGAAATGAATGCTATTTTGTTAGGCAACGTTGAGATTTTTTTTCGATAGAGAATGTATTTTTCACTTTTTGTTCATGATATACCTTCAGGGACTAAATATTAGTTGATTTTAACCATAGAATAATTTTTATATACGATCATTTACCAATATGTGTACCATACCATTTAATCTGAAGGGCACTTAATTATTGGAGGTTTAATTTGGTGTTTAAAATTCTGAAGAGTTATTTATAAAAAATGTATAGGGCTAGATTTTCACTCACACTATTATCTTAAACATAGCCTGATAAAAAATATCGTCGAAGCCGTAACAAGCTAACCTTCACATTTAAAATGCTATTTGAATATCAACATAATAGTATTGTGTAACAGTTACATCTGTGACATGTTAAAGGTGTGTTCAAAACTGCAGGCGGGCCCACCTGTGTTATAAGGTACAATCGAGGAATACCATGATATGACACTTATGATATTTAAAAAAAAGAAACTAGTACATGACTGATTTTTGACCTAAAAGCAGCGAGAAACAGGAATGGATCTGGAGGCATATCATCAAGCTAATTCTTAATTCCTCTGCCATAAGGTCCTTATTTGTTATAAATTTTTATTGCTGCTGTTATTTAGCGATAAGAATGCCTGTTGTTTACTCAATCTCTTCTTCTACTGATTAATTTTGTGGTATTTTTGGTAAGTAACGGTATAACAATAAAATTCAATCTAATTAAACAGTTTTTATTACAAAATTAAACACATAATGTTTTAACCACAAAATTTTTTAAACAATCTTGTGTATAGTGGAAAAGAACCAAATTCTTTGATTGTACACATGTGTATAAACGAAGACTAGTGGGTGATGTCTACTACTAGCTTTCTATTTTATATTTCGTTTGAACTGAAGGTGCCCTTAAATTCAGACGAATGATTTCATCATCAGCCCTGTTAAGGGGTGCTTTAGCCCCATCCTTATGGATGGTTAAGGTGACATATGATTTATTAGGAGTCAATTTCACTTGTTTTGTGGAACATCATTGTTATGAGATCATCGTTCAGGTATATAGATCAGAACTTAACTAAAACACGTCCGCCTTGGGTATGATGATGCATACTCTTAATGCTCCCTCATACTCAAGTATCGACCGTAGCAAAACTTCCATAGTTTTGACACGAGCTCTTGTATTATTAAATATTTTTAATAGTACAAGAGCTCGTGTCAAAACTAGTACTAGTAGGTAGTAAATATTTTTGGTTTTGAACTTTAATGACCCAAGGGAGTGTCAGTGTAACTAATGCTAAAAACGTATAAGCACTCAGGCTCAAGATAATAGGAAAAAAAAAATTTTCGATGTAGACTACCAAAAACTGGCCATAAAACTTTAGAAATATACGATATTTTTTTGTGTACCAATGAAAGTCTTGAAATGATAAGTAGCTGAAACAAATTTTTCTTATATTTCATTATCAGCCCTGTTAAGGGGGGCTTTAGCCCCATCCTTATGGATGGTTAAGGTGGACACGTATGATTTATTAGGAGTCAATTTCACTTGTTTTGTGGAACATCGTTGTTATGAGATCATCGTTCAGGTATATAGATCAGAACTTAACTAAAACATGTCCGCCTTGGGTATGCTGATGCATACTCTTAGCGCTTCCTCATACTCAAGTATCGACCGTAGCAAAACTTCCATAGTTTTGACACGAGCTCTTGTATTATTAGTAGGTAGTAAATATTTTTGGTTTTGAACTTGAATGACCCAATGGAGTGTCAGTGTGACTAATGCTAAATTACCTATAAGCACTCAGGCTCAAGATAATAGGAATAAAAAAACATTTTCGATGTAGACTACCAAAAACTGGCCATAAAACTTCAGAAATATACAATATTTTTTTGTGTACCAACGAAAGTCTTGAAATGATAAGTAGCTGAAACAAATTTTTCTTATACCATTGAATCAAGAAAAAGAGACAAAAAATGATTCGAATTGTAAAATGAGAGATGTAAAATTTTAGAGTGTTTTGTACACATTCGTTCGACTACATGTAACTGCCGCTTAAGCTGACGTGATTCTCATATATTACGGGGACTGGACTGGTTCAGTCAGACCGTTTAGACTTTACAGATAGTAAGTAGTAAGTGGGGCAAAATAATAAATTTTGTGTCAAGGTGGCCATCTGTTATCTATCGAGTTAGACATCGCTGCAGGCACAATCTTGAAGGTCGATCATTAGGCATTTTGAAAAATGATTCGATCACTTTTTTGCGGTATATAATTGACCCTGTATTCGTTAGACTTGAATCGTATAGGAATAGGTTGTGGGTGTTTTCGCAAAAATTCTTAACTGTAATAATATTTTTTAATTATTATTCTTGGATACTTTAGTCATAGCTTAAGTGACTTCTGTATTTACTATTACATTTTTTATGCTGCGATAACTTTGATGCTCCCAACTATATTATAATGTAGTGTTGTCTTTTTCTAATTAAATTTTATTAGGAATTTATTTTTTGAAATAAAAATCAATTTCAATAATTGTTAGTTTTTATTTAGCGCCCTGATAAGTTCACTTTTTTTCGATATAATTATTGTCTGTGAACCACTTTTGATTTTGTATCGTGTAGATGATAACACAACAGACAAAATGGTAATCATAAGTGTTGTTAAAAATGACCTAATTAATCATTTACGTACGCGGTTATTCGATTAATAGAAAGTTCGAATAAAAATCACGACTTGTTTAAATAAGGTATTTTATCATAGATATATCTCATTGATACGCCATTCTATTTCGCTCAGGTAGGTAAGACCCCCAGAGGTACACTACTTTTATTGTTGATGTAAAATAAACACTTTGATAAAAAAGTAATAAGTTTTTTTAAATTTTTTATAGCTATTGTACTACCTCCTGTGTTTATTATTTTCACAAAGATCATAGATACCATTGTACTATACATAATGCCTTCAATGTATGTGAAATTCTATTGTCTGAACTTTAAACACGCACACAAGTGTTTTATTTTCTAGGATAATTTTGAATTCAAGATATAAGGTTTAAATTTTACACGTTAGACCGTTTATTTAGTTAACGTGACCTTATTTCTTTATTTTACATAATAATATGGCGTTTTTTAAAAATAGTGGCAGGCCGCCGCCTTTTTTATAAACCACTATATTTTGAGAACGTTTTAGTTTATGTTTAAATTAGGAAGTAAATATGTTATTGTATAATTTCCAACAGAAACATTACTAAAATGGTCATAGTAGAAACGGAAGTCAATTATCGTTAATTTTACAATTACAATATATATCAACTTAGTTTTTGCCTGAAATATATGTTTAAGTATATGTTATATGAAATTAATACCGCTAAGGTTTTTAGTTATTCGCGTTTTTAATGCACTAATCCGCCATTACGATAATTGTTGGTTACATTGGCTTCTTAGTTAATAAGAGTTGCATCATAGAGGAAGCTATTGCACTTGCGTTTGCGTGCAACATTAGAATAATATTAATGCTGTTATTTTTCCGTAAATTTAATTTCGTTTTAAGATAATTATCATATTATTTATTCGTCTGTTTCTTTTAGGTTGACAGATTGTATAATGTAAGTGATATCGCACGTTGAGAACGATCGTGACAGAATGCAAAAAATGCGATTTTGAGTAATGAGCGTTTAAAGTTCAAGAAATTGTAATCCGCCGCTCTAAACAACGTATCGTCATTACGCCACCTAGCAGTTTCTATGGAAGCTACGTTTACAGGGATCTTTGCATTTTAAAGTTTATACTTAACAAAGAAAAATGTTGTCAAAAGTAAAAGATACGTCGTTTTGGATTAGTGTCATTGTCATTCTCAACGTGCGAAATAATAAAAATGGCTTGAGATCTGTGCTGATATTATAAAGATGAAAGATTAAAGGTTGACATAGGCTATTATTTACGCATTGACTATTTGATATTTATTTATTTATATAGGTTCTATTATTATTAGGAAGGTTAGTAACTTTTTACATAACCTTACTATTAGTAATAGTATATAGTAGTTGTACCTCAAATAACTTGGATTCATTCATATGTATTTTTTGTAAGTAATTAGATACATGCTAAATAAATTTATCTAATGAATGACATATAAAACAAGTCACAGTAGAGAAATCACTGACAAAAGGTCCCAGGTAGCTCAGTTGTTTCGAGCACTCACTGAACTATTATATTACATTATAATACTTGTAAAATTTAATAATTACATCCAATTCAATTAGACTATCATATCAAAGTGACGCTATTGTTTGACATAAAGGCTGAAAATCAAGGAATCGTTTTACCTTTTTGCATTGCTATGGCGCACAAGTTAATATGGATTTCTTTTTTTTTTATTGTTGTAAAGAATTTATAATGCATGTGTACTGATTTGTAAATAAATGAATTATTTATCTGTCTATCACCACGCGCGCCCAGTGCGGATTGGTGGGTATTAACGACTGTAGATGCAATCAGAAAAAACGGTAAAATGTGCCATCCGTAGAACGGAAGAGCTCGACATCGTAAGCTTTTGGTCACCTATCCTATGACAGATCATTGCGAAAATTGCTTAACAACATATGGCGGACCGAGAGCGCTAACCTCTGCGCCATCAAGCTCATCTGTCTTGTATTGTATTGTAAATGGTATTAGGTTCGGATCCCGAACAATGCCATCAGAGACTGAAAAAATTCTCTATAAGTATTGAGAAGAATTGTTACAAAATCAATGGTTTCTGTTTTCCCTTGAATAGAGAAACAAAATTTTAAATAGGTAAGATTTACTTTCACGTGACCAAGGGATATATAAGTCGTGACTCTAGAAAGTTGAACTTTAATAGGGTTGGGTGGCTAATAGTGATGTACAGAGAACGGGTGATAATACGAGATTTTACGACAATGCGTTTTCTATAGTTATCGTTTTATCTTATTGAGTTTCGATAAATAAATATCGATAACATGACTGAATGCTTCTTTGTAGTGTCAATTTATTATAAAGTAACATTTAAAGTAACAGCTTTCCTCTCTCACAGAATTACGCAACGGTTTTCAATGCGTTTTTCACTGTTGGGTAGGAAAGTTCGTGAGAGTGTCAACATGTGTACAAAACTAGGCCGCGTTGCTTGTAGGACCGTATATATATTTTCATCCAACCCTTCAGCAATGCAAAGAGGGATGTCTCAGCTACCGAGAACTGAAAATGAAATAAATATCTATTGTATTTAATTAAAGACCACAAAAAAATTATAATCGACCAAATAGTTTGTATACTTTTATTGGACGAAGATTCATTCATTGAACCATTTATTTTTATCGAAAGGGACCGTATTCTCACGCCACCATGACGGATGTCTGTCAGATCGCTCTCTAACCCATCTCTAACAGATCCCGTTGTAACCAACGACGTAAACCCGTGTTAGAAAAGGCCCGATGGATATATCATATTAGCTGCTTTAATTAGCAAATAAGCATAGGGACGTGAGAGTTACTTTCAACTATTGTTTTGCCTCCAGGTAATTACTCCGTAGAGCACGTGGATAAAGTATGCTTATCATTACGCGAGCAGTACGGTAACTGTGTGAAGATGGCCGGGCTACTGGGCAGACCTGATATGTTGTTCGTCTTCGATGCTGGAGAAGTCGAGAGGGTGTTCCGGGGAGAAGACTCAGCACCACACAGGTCTAAAATAGGTCTCAAATCAAATATGAAGATAAATGTAATTTTATTACCGTGTGCTTTTGATTTTCTTAGTAGACTATCAGGTTTTCCGTATATAAAAATGGAATCTATCATATGGTTTTAATCTTTAAATATGTTGAATGTTGATAACTGCAGTTCCAAGTAAAATGACCTAATGTGTCAAAGCAAAAGCTCTAGAAAGGAATTTATTTATCATACGTTTGATGACTCGATTTTGCCAAGTATAATTTCCTTGACTTTACACCATACGCTGTCACCAACGAGATCCTCTTGAAGAATTTTTTCATGTTACTTTGACTTTTGGAGGTGAGTGAGTCGCATGCTGTTGTCTTGGTTCCTAAAAATTCAAAATTTCTGGTTGACCCTGGTGGGTTCAACTTTGAAAACGAACAGAGTCTCGGATCTAAGCATGCATATTATAATCTACATAATGAATATATATTTTTATATTTCATACATAGTTAATTATAATGTTTTTGGTCAGCTAGAATTCATATTATAATACATTTATTTTTATTTATATTAAAATTCCTTTCAAACTCTATAATACCAATATCAGTTATAACGACTTAACTTAAGAATTTAAATATCAATTCTTTATTTCAGACCATCAATGCCATCTCTGAATTACTATAAGCACGTATTAAGGAAGGATTTCTTCCATGCCGAGGAAAACTGTGCCGGTGTTATAGCAGTGTAAGTAAAATCACACTGAAACTTTAATCTTGCTTTGTGCTCAGAACGGTTGACTACAACTTTATTTTAATTCTCGTAATTTATATAAGCCTATGTGATGACATATCATTTAACTTGCAACCCAATATTAATAAGCTACATCACAGCAGATGTGCTATGATGTAGCTTCCCGCAAGCGAAAGATTTTCTTAGATCGCTCCATTAGTTTCAGAGTCTGTTACACGCAAACAAACAAGAAAATCTTTTCTCTTTATAATATTGGTATGTCAATGTCACATAAAAAATATTTCCCACCATCACACAGTCATAACAGAGAAAATACATTTATGGTCATAATTACACAAACATCCAGCTTAATGTCTGCTAATCTTCAATGCTAAAAAGTGGTGTTACATTTAACATAATCCTTTCACTTTTCAGTCACGGAGATTCTTGGTCAGCATTCAGAACAAAAGTAGCAAAGATTGCGCTGAGTGTTGGTGCTGCAGCACAATACACAGAACAGGTGGCGGAGGTTGCCGATGGCTTTGTTGATAGGTAAGCTTAGGGAATATTGAAACGCCTATTATCATTTTACGCGATTCGACTTTCAACAGAGGACTTTTAATAAAATAATATACCTAAGTTACAGTTTATATCCACTGATGTGTTCAGAAATCCTGTTGATCCCCAACAGTAGGGAGAAATTATAATTAGTTATCTTAATACAGTTTGGTAATAAGATTTCATAACTACGTCCATCTCCTCCATCTCCATTGAATAGACCTAGAGTGTTTAAATAGATAACTAAAGTATCTTAGTATATAATATCAATATGGGTTGCTAGCAAGTCCTTTAGGAAGTCGAAAAGCGACACCATCTATATAAATAACAAAAAAATCTATTTATTTTGGTACTCTAACAGTGAGCAAAATGTTACATGACGATGTAATAAGAAATGCACAAAAAATACATGCCTTTTACCTACCACTTACAAGAGAACACTGCATGCACTAAATGGATAGTAACATATAAATATTTATTATTATTAATTATATTAAAATTTATATAATACATTAACAATTCATCTACATCATCCCACAATGGATCCCACGTGGCGTAAGATACAGATAAATCGATTTACAATTACAAATAAGTTTCTTCATGGCCCGAATTGAAGCAATTACTAAATTCATATCACCCTGGTACACCCCGTAAGCAGCGTACATCCGAGATAGCGGACTGTGAACTCCAAGATTAGTATGATACTTGGGAAAAGAAACAATTTCATATTATTTGATCTCTGTGGCCTGATCGGGGCAGCAATATTTACCTTACATAATAAGTTTGGACAAACAACTATACCACAAAGCTAGTTTTTCGAAAATATCAAGTCCAATATTTGTCTACGCATTTCCAGTGAAATAAAATAAAATAAATCTTTATATGACTTGAGTCTCCTGGCCATATTGAAACTATGCTAAATTATACATAAAGCGTTTTTCTAATTTTTCAATTCTCTTAATGCGATAATTATAATGATACTGACCAAACTACGCTACAATATTCAAAGTGACTCCTCACGAGTGAGCTACACGTTGTTATTTTTACATGTGGTTTCTTGAAATTTTTACATTCTCTTAAAACAAAACCAATCTTTTTTATCATTTATGATATAGTACGAGTCTAAATGATTTAAATTTCGCGTAAATTTGATATGTTTTCATTTTAATCTATTACAGAATACGCAAAATAAGGAACGACGATCTAGAAACACCCGACGATTTCTTGAACGAAATCCATAAATGGTCTTTGGAGTGTAAGTTTACTAAATTATTTCATGAGTTTTTATGCACACTAATTATTTAATGGAACAAATTTTGTGAAGTTTTAAGCGTCAGTAATTGATGTGTATGGTAGTTTGTAGATTGCGTATAGTAAGTAGATTGAGATGTTAAGTGTCTTGAAATTAGTATTATAATAATATTTACCGTTAACTGCATAATTGTTATAATTAATTCATTAAAAAAATTTCAAACGTAATACGTTTAGGTATATAAGGATTGCATGTGGCAGTTGAGTTTAAAGTAAAAGAAGTTTGTCTTTTAATGTGTGTCCATAAATATTGGCATATTTGTACTGTGTTTGAGTTAAGTACGTGTCTGTATGTACAGGATGTTGGCTCTTGGTCAACTCCAAAACAAGTCCCTATCTTTGTTACTGTTAATTTCGTTTTGTGTATTAACGCTAAGAAATATGCCAGGGTCGAGGTTATATTTTATTGGAAGAGTATGGCAGTTATTCGGGGAACGTGATTCATATTTTTGGCACTCAATAATTATTTACGGTAGAATGCTTACAACGATGTTTATTCTTTTCAAAATAATTCAACTTTACGATTTATCTTTTTTGGTTTGTTTAACATAAAAATAAGAACGTTTCTATACAACGTTTTACATGCCGTCACAGTAAATTAGATGGTCACATAGCGATCTACGGATATTTTCGCTATTCTGAGAAATAAAAGTTTTTAATGTTTAAACCATGCATATCACAAAGTGATGAATATATTATAGCTTACTAGCTTTCCGCCAGCGGCTTCACCCGCTTGTCCTTGTATCACACATAAAAACCTTCCTTTTGAATCACCCTATCTATGAAAAAAAACCGCATCAAAATCCGTTGCGTAGTTTTAAAGATAGATAGGTATACATACATAGGTATGTAGGTACAGAGAAAGCAACTTTGTTTTATACTTAATTCTTAATTAACGTTTGCTATATTTTTTTAGCTTTAAGTTTAATAGCGTTAGACACGCGGCTGGGTTGCTTCGACTCGTGCGCAAGTTCCGATAGTCAGAAACTTATTGACGCGGTCAACACCTTCTTCCTTTGCGTCGGAGAGTTGGAGCTGCGCGCTCCATGGTGGAGAATCTATCCAACGACCACGTTCAAGAGATACGTGGCTGCCTTAGATACCATCCTCAGGTATTTACTTGTTCAAATAACATTTGTAGTAATTGAAATAAATATTAGGTTCCTATTAGTAGGTCACATAAAATACATTCTCATTTCTCCCAGCTGACTTTTACTATTTGCGAGAAGATGTGCATACATTAGGTTATTCAAAACTATTAAATTGCTTCACTTGATATTTTGACAGTAGAGTACAAAACCACCGAAATTCGACATATTGTGGTGAGCAGATTACGTGTTGTTTCGCTTCCAGAGATTCCTCTTTTATTTCAGAGTTATATTAAAAGTGGTAAAAAAATTTAAAAGAATTCATATAGCAAAAACTGTATCATGGCTTTAAACTACTCAAAACAATCAAGGTACATTAAGTCTCTAATAACTGCGGAACTTTGAAAAACGAAACGGTTGTCTTGATCCATAAAAGAGACACTTATAGGAACAAAACTTTTATATCCGTGATAATGTCATATTATTTACATTAAAATAATCTCAATAGAATATTATACAATACCATTCGGTTAGCCAGATTTTGGTACGTTATTCTGAATTTAAATTCATGCATGTAATGTTTATTTATCAAAACATGCTGTATATACTCGTATATGTGTTTACAGTGTAACTCTGAAATATGTGGAGAGAGCATTGGAGGAATTGAAGTGTGGCGGGAACAAGTCGTTACTGCAGGAACTGGTGGCGGCAACGGGGCCGCGTGTGGCTGCTGTCGCGGCCTTAGATATGTTCCTCGTCGGTATTGATACTGTTAGTCACTGTTTGTTCGTTTACATCAAAAGGCTTACGAATTTGAATAAAGCTTATTTAAAAATGTGTCCAGTAAAGTAGACATTCTTACAGAGGCTCACTATTTTTAAATTCCTAAGAACTAAACACCAAAACATTTCTGCAGTTTTGATTTGCAACTGCCATTTAGAGCCTTGATATACTTGTTTTCAACTGGGTAGATCACACTTTATTCACCAAGTATCTTTTGGAAACAGATGTAAATTCTATTTATTATCTTCGTCAGACGAGTGAGACTGGATTGGACCACGATAGCAGTTAATACAAAGGTTTACGCTGAATTTAACATTGACTGCAGAATGCGTTGCACCATCATCTTCCTTGGCTTAGCTTGGTTGGTTATAGTTAATAGAGCTTACCATTGCCATATGGAACAACTTATTATTTTCTTTGTACATTCTATTCTTGTACATTCTGTTAAAAAATGTTTACTTTTAAGCAACTTTAATGAAACGGATGATAAGTAAATATGGAAACTCCTTATGCTACGGATACAAGACGGAATCTTTGTAACAGTTATATTGGTATAAGATACTACTAATTGTAAAATCTTATGAAATTGCCATACGGACAACGATTAATAAGAAAAAAATGAAAGCTAGATTGTGATTAAACTGTACTTAATCCAAGTTAATGCACTGATGTAATTCAATAATTGATTAATTCTAAATCTGCATATTACACCTACAAAGTTAAAGCATTTGTGCAATTTGATGAAGCAGCTCCGAGTACAGACCAACCTCACCTCATTTACATAATTGTACCTCGGGGTACAGCTACTTACTTTTAATTATTTAAAAAATTCACTCAATATTAACACATCCTTTGGTCGCAATTTAATATATTGGGTCGTAATATTATAACAATATTATTGTTGTACCCTCATTGTTTTGTTTTTGATAACAATGGGTTTCATGATCTTTACTTCTTTACTGTTAACTCAAACTCGATAACTTTTGTTTATTAGACTTTAATTTAGTAAATTGTGTGCAAAAATATTGTCATATAAGTATATTTATTTCATATTTTATTTGATAATATTATAGTAAAATGGTGTGACCAACCCTTAGTTTCCTTTGGTGGTTTGATTTAGTTTAGAATGGTTATATTTTACCATTAGCAAAACATTTCTTGTTTAATTTTCAGACATCGAACGCTGTGGCTTCTATACTATACCAACTATCATTGCGACCCGCTGTCCAAGAAAGATTACATGGTGAAATTATTAACGTTTTACAAGGTAGACCAATGAAACCTGGAGATGTGAATCAGATGCCTTATCTGAGAGCCTGCGTGAAGGAAGTTCTGAGGTAAGAATAATACACACAAAATCCCACGAATTAAAGTTTGCTAGTTCAAAATCGACTGTCGTGTTTTGAGTATAACATTATAATTTAACATTTGTACATATTTAATTTTGGCTATTATACTTTGAACTCTTGCTAGACAAATTTTTGTATCGTCTGTTATATTAAATATAATGAAATATAAGGTAATTAAGGTAGGTGCTAATTTTCTGTTTAATTTTGTTACCAGGATGTTTCCGGTAGTGGTTGGCAACGGTAGGCAGTTGACCAGAGACACAGTGATTTGTGGATATCATATTCCTAAAGGCGTTAGTACTCAACAATTTTTTTTTTTATATTCTGGGTAGTATATAATACAAACATGTAGTTTTTATTGATTTGAAAGTACTCTACCGATATTGTTAATTAAAAGAAATTCTATATAAGATGAAATATAGTTCTTTTGATATTTAATATCTTGTTATAGTCAATTGTCATTGAGTGCTATATTTACGCATGCAGTTTCGATTTTGTTTACTATAATAATTTAATTACTATTATTATTATTAAAATGATTATTGCAAGTCCCTACAACAAATTTTGACAATTTTTTTATCGGCCGCGATCAAGTCACCGATAATACGTTAGTTCTATAGTTTTTGTATTCGATTCGTGATTGACAAAAAATACGAAACCGCTGTTGGGTTAAATACAGTTAGTGTTGGGTTAGCTGTTGGGTTAAATAAGTTGGGTTAGGTATATCGCGATCGCAAACACTGTTAAGACCACCTATTCCAAGACGATTAATAGTTTTTTTACAGCTTGGACTATTCATCCATGTTTTCCAGTCGCTCGATTTTAGATGGTAGCTCAAACTTCAATTGAAAGTAAAGAGCATTAAGTATATTTGCCTCAATTATTTGCGCGAGTGTCGTTCCAATTAAGAAGCTTTGGGGTAATTACGAAAATCAGAAATTTTTTTTTTCACCTTATAGAGTTAAATCATATTTCTCAATTATTCAAAGCATTTTATTCTTATGATAGACTCAGGTTATATTTCAACACTACGTGATGAGTAATAGCGAGGACAACTTCCCGTATGCCCACGAGTTCCGCCCGGAGCGTTGGCTGGAGCGCGGCGTGGGCGGTGTGTCGGTGCATCGTCGGTTCGCGTGTTTGCCCTTCGGCTTCGGAAGGCGCATGTGTCTCGGCAGACGGTTTGCTGAACTAGAGATCCATACTGTGATATGCAAGGTGAATATCATTTATGAATATCTTTGACACTACGATATCTAGCATCTTCCAAAGTCAGTATCTGCCAGACCTGTACGCGTAGTGTGATGTTGTGATTTTCCACAACACTAATACTTTCATGTATTAATTATTATTTTTTTTACGGAATTAAAGCACTTACAGTAATACAATTCTTGTGGGACCTATAGCGGAAGAGAGAGTGTATCACAGACAACGGAACAAAGTAGCCAAGATATAGAATAGTATATAAATCAATTACACGTAGCACGTCAAACTCGTGAAAATTTTGTGTTTACCAAACATTACTTTTCTCTGATCGAGAGTGAAATACCGTAGAGGCGTACGGTGAAAAGTGACATTTCAGTGTAGACAAAATGCTCTCGAGATAGTCTTGCTACGTGCGCTGGAATGCTGTCCTGTTTTTTAACATACTTGAAATCGTTGTCGCACGTAACTCAATCAATTTCATAAGGATAAAAAGGATTTATTTTATTGAAGTTCTATGACATAGCTATTTCGCTATCATATTTTTTTTCTATAACAGCCAAATATTTGGCTAACCAGAGTGCTCCTATTGAGCACTCTTCTATTGACATGACTGTCAGTAATAATCCTACTGACATTGCGACAAATTCGTCTTTAAATTAGATACTAAGACAACAGAGGATTCCTCTTGCTTGCTATTGAATAGTCAAAGTAATAATGGAACCAAGAGTTTTTCAGTCATCAACCTAGTGCACCAAAATGTTCAAGGAATGTTGAGTAAAGAGTTAGAAGTGGAATTATTCATGAACTGTAACAATGTTGATTTTTTCTGTATTACGGAACATTGGTTAACAAGTTATAATTGCATTTTTAACTTCAATAATCACCTGGTTGGTAGCGCGTTCATTAGGAAAAACGCAATGCGTGGTGGCGCACTAATTTTATTAAATAAAAAGTTTAAATTTAAAGAACGTAGAGATATAGTGAGCCTATCGGTTGAGGAAATAATAGAGATTGCCTGTATAGAGCTGGACCAGCTGATTGTACTGAGCGTATAGACCTCCTTCAAGTTTAGTTTCTCATTATGATCTTTTTGAAACTGTTATGGATGAAGCATTAAAAAGGTATATAGCAAAGGCAAACGATTAGTGATTGGGGGTGATTTTAACGTTGATTTATCAGGAAACTCCAATTCATGTACAAGACTTGTAAATCTATTTATGTCCTATAATCTTGCGCACATGTTTAAGGAGCCTACTAGAGTAACTGCTACTTCGTCCACATGTATTGACAACATTTTTACAGATCTAGTACCACTTTCAAGACAGATAATTAAACAACTATCGTCAGATCATTTTGGACAACTAGTTAGCTTTCCGCATAAATGTACGTTTGTGGCTAGGAGAGACATTACAGTTGTGTCAAAAAGTATGAGTCGCTTGAAACGTTTTAAAAATCAATTAGATAGTAAATTGTATCATTTGAAACATAATAGTAATTCTAATGATTTGTACAAAGATTTCTTTGATGTTTATTGTACAGAATTCAATAAGATTTTTGTCCCAAAAAAAATAAGTATTAGTAATCCTATAACTTTTAGTGTGTGGGCTACACCAGGAATCTACAAAAGCAGAAAAAGGCTCTATGAACTATATGATGAACGTAATTATAACACAAGCGAGGACTTCAAAGAATATGTACGAAATTACTCTAAATTATTTAAAAAAGTGTGTCGTTTAGCCAAATGTAATTATTTAAATGCAAAAATTGAAAATAGTAAAGACAAAGTTAAAATGACGTGGAATATCATAAATAGTGAAACTGGAAGAGAAAAATCCCGGAATATAAATTTTAATTTAAACATTGATAATAAAAAAGTAACATCAGATCTTGAAGTTGCTACAGTATTTGAAAATTTATTTACTGAAATTCCAGTCTTAATTACACAATCTTTGAATTCCTCTTCCACTGTTGCTGAATCTATTTTAAAGGCAAGTTTAAATAATTCTAATAGCCAATTTAAATTTCAACACATTGATATAATAAAATCTTTTAATCAGCTAAAGAAAACGAAAACTGCTGATTTATGGGGTAATTCCATTGAAGTTTCTGAATCGGTAATTGAGACAATAGCTCCAATCTTAGCTTATATATTTAATGAATGTACTGATTGTGGTATTTTTCCTGAGCTCATGAAATATAGTAAAATTATTCCTTTACATAAATCAGGTAGCACATCTGACCCTACTAACTTTAGACCTATATCCGTGCTACCTACGTTTAGTAAGATTTTTGAAAAAATCATGCTGGATCAAATACAAACGTACTTTTACAAGAATAAGCTTATGAATCGACAACAATTTGGTTTTACAAGGGGTCGCTCGACAACCGAAGCCGGTGTCGAGTTAATACAAGAAATTTTTAATACCTGGGAGGATTCACATGATGCGTTAGGTGTTTTCTGTGACCTATCTAAGGCATTTGATTGTGTTTTTCATGAAACATTGATTAGGAAACTGCATTTTTATGGATTTAGAGATAACTCATTGGATTTTATTGTCTCATACTTGACTGACAGAGTACAGAGGGTTGATATCAATGGCAAAAGATCCCCTGGATCGAAAATTAAGATGGGCGTTCCGCAGGGCTCAATACTTGGTCCTTTCTTGTTTTTGATTTACATAAATGACTTGCCTTATTTCGTAAGGGATGATCACGAAATAGTTTTGTTTGCGGATGACACTTCACTCTTGTTTAAAATTAAAAGAGGGTTACCTCTAAATGACGATGTGAACAATTCTATCGCTAAAGTAGTACATTGGTTTAATGTAAATAATCTTCTCCTTAATGAAGGAAAAACAAAATGCTTAAAATTTGTACTACCTAATGTTAAAAAAGTAGATATAAATGTTAATGTAAAAGATAAGAACATGGGCCTTGTGGATACCACAGTATTTTTAGGAATAACATTAGATTCTAAACTACAGTGGGGCCCACATATTGATAAATTGTCGAGTAGACTTAGCTCTGCAGCATATGCCGTAATGAAGATACGTAGGTTAACTGACATAGATACTGCCAGATTAGTATACTTCAGTTACTTTCATAGTGTTATGTCGTACGGTATCCTATTGTGGGGAAATGCTGCCGACATACAAACAATTTTTGTGCTTCAGAAAAGAGCAATTCGATCAATTTATAATCTTAGGATTAGGAACTCTTTAAGGGAGAAATTTAAGGAAATAGACATTATGACTGTTGCTTCTCAATACATATACGAGAACTTAATGTACGTTCGTAAAAATATTAGTTTGTTTTCTATAAAAAGTGATGTACACAATTTTAATACAAGAAATAAAAATAAATTAACGGTGCCTGTCACTAGACTGCAAAAAGTTAATAACTCTTTCAAGGGTCTTTGTGTGCGCTTCTACATGAGGTCCCAAGCAAAATACAACAATTAGATATCATGCAGTTTAAATCTACTATTAAAAAAATACTTATTAAAAAAGCTTATTATAAGGTATCCGATTATATAACAGATAAGAACGCTTGGACTTGAGATGATCCAGCAACTGGATAGGTGATTACTTCTAAACTCATTATCTTGTTTCCATTATTATTAAATGATTATGTTATTATTATAAGACCATAGTTTTTTTTATCTCTGTTTATAATATATTGATCTGGTAATGACATGGTTTTTGTAAATGTCATTACTCATATTAGAGCTGGTGAGTTTCTTGCTCGTTCTTCTTATCAGCCAAAAGACGTCCTGAACGAGTGGTAGGGAAAAAATGTTGGACGATTCAAAAGTACTTTTACGAAGTCTATTTGAATAAAGATTATTTTGACTTTGACTTTGACGCGATAGAGCTGCGTTCAACGACGAGTTCGTCACTGTTTTTTACATAATATCATACCCTGTTGTGCACCGCCCACGCCGCACACAAATACACATGTAATAAGCGGCAATGAGTCTTGCAATTACAACTAAACCTGTCAGAGTTAAAATTACAATTTTTCCTTTTCAGATGATTCAAGCTTTCAAAATGGAGTACCACCACGAATTGTTAGATTATCATATCCATCCTATGTATACGCCTAATGGACCAATCCGCTTGAAGTTGCTCGAGCGATAATTTAATTTATATTTCCATAGTTGATATTATTTTAACATAATGTAACACGTATTATTTAGGTTTTCAAATATCGATATATAAAGACATATTTTAAAATGTAAAGATAAATCATTGTAAAGTGATTAGATAATAAAGCGAATGTTCGTAGATATTAACCTACTGGAAGGCAAAGTTCCAAATGAACGAACCACTTACAAATTGCGGATGTATAAAATAAAGATCAGCGACGAGCCACGATCATCCTCTGTGCATCATCCCTGAAAGTCCTCAAAACTTCATAATTACAGATCATCCAGGCCTTCCTTTTGACGGATCAATCAGGGATTAAAGTCACGCTAAGTGGTAGACTGTTGATATTACTCTAAGGTTTGAGCTACACCTGGCAGCACGTTATCGCTTTTATCCGTCGCCCTACCCCATTATGACAAGCTGAAGAACGTTTTGCTAGAGCGAGATAGATAGCGGGTTGCCTAACCCTTCAAAGATTCCACAAAGTGCTATCGTACACCCGCATTATGACCATTGAATTAGCGAAAGTTACTTGAAACTAGTTTCATTGCATTAACTTCGCTAGCAGTCTACTATTGTAATGCATGCATTTCTTTCACGACACTAAAGTACTATCTTGCTATGCGCATATTTTTGATGAAACTACTTTCACGCAACTAATCAGCTCAATTTACATGGCGAAAGCATCGTCGACACTCTCTTTGCTTAGTAAATCTTTATCGTTGACGTGGCCAGTGTCTTGGAGACTGTAGATGAACGCCGTTAGGAAAGTAATCGCACATGTGCCGAAATTTTATTCGTAAATATTTGATTTTATCGTAATTTCATGTAACTATTTTCGTAGTATGAATTCGGTTTCAAACGAGAGATACACGTGAGGATCGTGTATGGAGAGATGATGCTTGTCCCGCTGAGAAAACGGCATGAGGAATAAAGATAGAATAAAAAGATTAGTACCTACTATTTAGTATAATTCAAAATGTCCTCCGCCGTCAAAGTTTTAGTGGCACTACCTACGTTCATTTGTTACTCATAACATATTTCAAAATCTAGTATCGAAGATTATTCAAAAGACCAGAATTGTACGAGTGTTCTTTTGTGATTTGTATGCATAAAGTGTTAATTATTTATTTTTGTTTAATTATAAATAACCTTACCCCTCTTGTTCTTTCTTAGTAAGTACATCATAATTTTGATCTATTTCAACTATAATCACTTCCAGTCCGCGTAGCATGACGCACTCGAGGGACGCTCGTGAGACACAAGAAATGAGTCCAGAGTGAGGTGTACCTATTTTCAAAACGGGATACTTTATCTTCACTGGTGGAGTGGACGGTTTCTGGTACAGATATTACTACATTGAAAAAAATACTCCACAATCAATCGGGTTTTAAAATTGAATGCTTTTTTCTCTATCTAACTCGGTTTCCGAGTCTCTCGAGTTCGACATATTACGAGGCAGATATCCGACTCTTGGAACGAAATAATTAGGACACAACTTTATATTTATTTTCTTTCTTTCAGCTAATTAGGTAGACTGCCTAAAATTTATGGAGATACGCTCACTAGTAGCAAAAGTAAATGGTGTTGTGGGTCTTTCAAGCACCTATATAGGTGATACCTAATAGGTATACTCAATAGGTGATACATTGTCATACAAATAAAACAAAAATTGACATTCATAGAATGTTTTATTCAGATTGACTTCACAAAGTAATCTTACTAACATACATTGGTCGAAAAAATTTTATATTTTTTTCTCTCTAAAACTATGTATAATTTGTATCAGATCATCTCATATAAAAAATCAACACACATTTACTTCAAGTATTTTTCACAACAAATATTAACTATTTTCATACAAATCATACATAATTTAAGGCATTTCATAGTAAATCTAGTTATTGAATGGCCACATCAGCTTGGTAAATATTTACAAAAAAAAATATCACAAAAAGTACCATGATACGTTTCAATACATATTTAAAATAAACATACAGGCGTTACAAAATATATAGTCCGTAATTCATCATTTTGACTAGTGTATAATTATATAATATTATTTCTGAAAATACGATACTGAAATTATGGCACTATTTTATACATACATATAATATAAAATAGCCATGGGAATATCAGCGTTAAAATAAAGCTCATAAGGCAGTGATGAAAAACTCGTTGCATTAATCGAGTTCTTGGTTGATAACTTTATTATAGTATCACAAATGTTAAAACTTATAACTTAATTATTTTATACAAATATTTAACAAGAAGTTTGAGCTTCGTTTGCGTGCTTGTTTGACATGTTTTGTCTGCGTTTTCTATACATATAAATCGTAATAGTGATGCATATAACCATAAATACAGCCGAGCCAACTGTCATGTACACGACTGGTGATCCTTTCGTGACATCAACTACAGATCCGCTCACGTGACTCAGATCCCTAGTATTTCTTGATCTCGGTTTTGTTCTTGTGAATTCAAAATTATCTGTAAAGGATAATTTGAAATTAAAAAAAAAACACAGACAAAAATACACATTCCTCCCATTTCAATGTGAAATTTCGAAAAGTAATTTCATTTTTTAAATTAGTTAGAGGTTAAAATGTAACACAATCCGACGTATTTGCTATACTCATATTATAAAAATAAACATTATGATTGTTTGTTTGCATCGGATAGGCTCCGTAACTATTGAACCTTCATGCGGGATTGACATAGGCTATTTATTATTTAGGCGTGTGAAGTCGTAGTACAACAGCTATTCTACAATATACAGGGGACATTTCTAACTATTACTCATTATTTATTAAGGTGTGAGACTACAAAAAAAACGGTTAAGTGACTACTAAAAAAAAACGGTTTTCTTTACAGGTTCCGTAAAGAAAACGAGCAAAAACAAAATGTTATTATAATTTTTATTTTATTCTAGTTTTAAAATTTTTCCTTTATCTGTGAAAATGTCAACTGTCTAACTTTCACTGTTCATGAGATATAGCCTGGTGACAGACAGAGTGACAGACAATCAGCGACGTCTTAGTAATAGGATTTCCTTTTTCACATTTGGGTACGGAACTCTTAAAAAGGACAACATATATATTGTTCCTGTATTTTAAAGATGTTTATTATTTATGTCTAATAAAAAAATACATACCTATATCAGACTGATTCTCATCATAGTCGGTACTTATTGACGCTAATCTAGCGTTTCTTGGAGATTGAATTTCATTTTCGGCAGGAAATGGTGGTAAGTACGTAGAAGGAGGGTTTGTACTACTTGGAGCAAAAGGTTGAGGGCATTTTGGATCTCTAGAACCTGGATAACAGGAACTGGGTGTAGGAGGCGGTTGTGGTTTGGGACATCTTGGGTCTTTTGAACCTGGGTAGCATCTTAAAGGCGCTTCGGTTGTCGGCCTTGGACATCTGGGATCATTTGATCCAGGATAACATCTTGGAGGAGCTACGGTCGTAGGCTTTGGACATCTGGGATCAGTTGAACCTGGGAAGCATCTCAAAGGCTCTTCAGTTGTTGGCTTTGGACATCTAGCATCACTAGATCCTGGATAACATCTCAAAGGTGCTTCTGTAGTGGGTTTAGGACATCTGGGATCATTTGACCCTGGGTAACACTTCAGTGAACTTTCAGTTGTTAGCTTGAGGCAACGAGGATCAGTTGAGCCGGGATAACATTTAGGAGTACCTGTTGATGGTGGTAAGTAAGTTGGCGGATTCAAAGTTGTTGGTCTTGATGGTTGAGGGCATTTTGGATCAGCAGAACCAGGGTAACACACCGGTCTCGTGGTTGTTGGCTTGGGACACCTAGGATCAGTTGAACCAGTATAACATCTCGGTGGTGCATCGGTAGTGGGTTTGGGGCATCTTGGGTCACTGTTTCCTGGGTAGCAATTAGGAGGAGTTTGTGTAGTGGGTTTCGGACATCTAGGATCAGTTGAACCAGGATAACATCTTAGTGGTGCTTCGGTAGTGGGTCGGGGACAGCGTGGGTCACTGTTTCCTGGGTAGCAATTAGGAGGAGCTTGTGTAGTGGGCTTTGGACATCTAGGATCAGTTGAACCAGGATAACATCTAAGTGGTGTTTCGGTAGTGGGTCGGGGACAGCGTGGGTCACTGCTTCCTGGGTAGCAATTAGGAGGAGCTTGTGTAGTGGGTTTTGGACATCTAGGATCAGTTGAACCAGGATAACATCTTAGTGGTGCTTCGGTAGTGGGTCGGGGACAGCGTGGATCATTGCTTCCATGAAAGCAATTTGGAGGAGCTTGGGTAGTGGGCTGCGGACATCTAGGATCAGTTGAACCAGGATAACATCTTAGTGGTGCTTCGGTAGTGGGTTTCGGACATCTAGAATCAGCTGATCCAGGATAACATCTCGGTGGTGACTCGGTAGTGGGTCTAGGACAGCGTGGATCAGTACTACCTGGGTAGCATTTTGGGGTTGCTGTAGATGGTGGAAGATACGTAGGTGGGGTTAGAGTTGTTGGTCTAGATGGTTGAGGACAGCTTGGATCGGGAGATCCCGGGTAACACACTGGTTTTGGACTGGAAGGTCGTGGGCAACGTGGATCTGTATTTCCAGGATAACAGTTGGGAGGTGCAGGAGTAGTAGGTTTAGGGCAACGTGGATCTGTGCTACCTGGATAACACTTTGCAGGGGCAGGTGTTGTAGGTTTTGGGCACCGAGGATCTGTGCTGCCAGGGTAACATTTGGGAGCAGCGGGTGTAGTTGGTCTTGGACAGCGAGGGTCATTATTTCCTGGATAGCAGTTAGGTGGCGCAGGCGAAGTTGGTTTTGGGCACCTAAGATCTGTGCTACCTGGATAACAGTTGGGAGGGGCTGGGGTAGTGGGTTTTGGGCAACGTGGATCTGTGCTACCTGGATAACAGTTGGGAGGAGCAGGAGTAGTGGGTTTTGGGCATCTAGGATCGGTGCTGCCAGGGTAACATTTGGGAGCAGTGGGCGTAGTTGGTCTTGGGCAGCGTGGATCCTTATTTCCTGGATAACAGTTAGGCGGTGCAGGTGTTGTTGGTTTAGGGCACCTAGGATCTGTACTGCCTGGATAACAGTTAGGAGAGGCAGGAGTGGTTGGTTTTGGGCAGCGAGGATCATTTGTTCCTGGGTAACAATTAGGAGGTGCCGGTGTAGTTGGTTTGGGACAACGAGGATCGGTACTGCCGGGGTAACATTTTGGAGTAGCAGTAGATGGTGGAAGATACGTGGGTGGGGTTAAAGTAGTTGGTCTAGTTGGCTGAGGACAGCTCGGGTCAGGGGAGCCTGGGTAACATACTGGTTTTGGACTCGTTGGACGTGGACAACGCGGATCAGTATTACCTGGATAACATTTAGGAGTAGCAGGCGTGGTCGGTTTGGGACACCGCGGATCTGTACTTCCTGGGTAACATTTAGGTTGTGCTGGCGTTGTCGGTCTTGGGCAACGAGGGTCATTATTTCCCGGATAACAATTTGGAGGAGCAGGTGTTGTGGGTTTTGGACACCGAGGGTCTGCGCTACCTGGATAACAGATTGGAGGGGCAGGTGTTGTTGGTCTTGGGCAGCGAGGATCATTACTTCCGGGATAACAATTTGGAGGAGCAGGTGTTGTGGGTTTTGGACACCGAGGGTCTGTGCTATCTGGATAACAGTTGGGAGGAGCAGGAGTAGTGGGTTTTGGGCATCTAGGGTCGGTGCTGCCAGGGTAACATTTGGGAGCAGAGGGCGTAGTTGGTCTTGGGCAACGAGGGTCGTTAGTTCCTGGATAGCAGTTAGGAGGGGCAGGAGTGGTTGGCTTTGGGCAACGAGAATCATTATTTCCCGGATAACAGTTGGGAGGGGCAGGAGTAGTAGGTTTTGGGCAACGAGGGTCTGTGCTGCCAGGGTAACATTTGGGAGCAGCAGTAGTCGGTGGGAGATATGTGGGTGGAGTTAAAGTTGTTGGTCTAGGTGGTTGAGGACAGCTCGGGTCAGGGGAGCCTGGGTAACATACTGGTTTTGGACTCGTTGGACGTGGACATCGCGGGTCATTATTACCTGGATAACATTTAGGAGGAGCAGGTGTGGTTGGTTTGGGACACCGTGGATCTGTACTTCCTGGGTAACATTTAGGTTGTGCTGGAGTAGTCGGTCTTGGACAACGAGGATCATTATTTCCCGGATAGCAGTTAGGTGGTGCAGGTGTTGTTGGTTTAGGGCACCTTGGATCTGTGCTACCTGGATAACAGTTAGGAGGGGCAGGAGTGGTTGGTTTGGGACAACGCAGATCTGTACTTCCTGGGTAACATTTAGGTTGTGCTGGAGTAGTCGGTCTTGGGCAACGAGGATCATTATTTCCCGGATAGCAGTTAGGTGGTGCAGGTGTTGTTGGTTTTGGACACCGAGGATCTGTGCTACCTGGATAACACTTAGGAGGGGCAGGAGTGGTTGGTTTTGGGCAGCGAGGATCATTATTTCCTGGATAACAGTTAGGAGGGGCAGGAGTGGTTGGTTTTGGGCAGCGAGGATCATTCGTTCCTGGGTAACAATTAGGAGGTGCTGGTGTAGTTGGTTTGGGGCAACGAGGATCGGTACTGCCCGGGTAACATTTTGGGGTAGCAGTAGATGGTGGAAGATACGTGGGTGGGGTTAAAGTTGTTGGTCTAGTTGGCTGAGGACAGCTCGGGTCAGGGGAGCCTGGGTAACATACTGGTTTTGGACTCGTTGGACGTGGACAACGCGGATCAGTATTACCTGGATAACATTTAGGAGGAGCAGGCGTGGTCGGTTTGGGACACCGCGGATCTGTACTTCCTGGGTAACATTTAGGTTGTGCTGGCGTTGTCGGTCTTGGGCAACGAGGGTCATTATTTCCCGGATAACAATTTGGAGGAGCAGGTGTTGTGGGTTTTGGACACCGAGGGTCTGTGCTACCTGGATAACAGTTGGGAGGAGCAGGAGTACTGGCTTTTGGGCATCTAGGGTCGGTGCTGCCAGGGTAACATTTGGGAGCAGCAGGCGTAGTTGGTCTTGGGCAGCGAGGATCATTATTACCTGGATAGCAATTAGGAGGCGTAGGGGTTGTGGGTTTTGGACACCGAGGGTCTGTGCTACCTGGATAACAGTTGGGAGGAGCAGGTGTAGTGGGTTTTGGGCATCTAGGGTCGGTGCTGCCAGGGTAACATTTGGGAGCAGCGGGCGTAGTTGGTCTTGGGCAGCGAGGATCATTATTACCTGGATAGCAGTTAGGAGGCGCAGGTGTTGTTGGTTTTGGGCACCTAGGATCTGTGCTACCTGGATAGCACTTGGGAGGGGCAGGAGTAGTTGGTCTTGGGCAGCGTGGGTCTTTAGTTCCTGGATAGCAGTTAGGAGATTCTGGTGTAGTTGGTTTTGGACAACGAGCATCGGTACTGCCCGGGTAACATTTTGGAGTAACAGTAGATGGTGGAAGATACGTGGGTGGGGTTAAAGTAGTTGGTCTAGTTGGTTGAGGACAGCTTGGATCGGGGGAGCCTGGGTAACACACTGGTTTTGGAGAAGTTGGTCGTGGACAACGCGGGTCAGGATTTCCAGGATAGCAGTTGAGAGAGGCCGGTGTGGTTGGTCTTGGGCAACGAGGATCATTGTTCCCTGGATAACAGTTTGGAGGGGCAGGTGTTGTGGGTTTTGGGCACAGAGGGTCTGTGCTTCCAGGGTAACATTTAGGGGCAGCAGGAGTAGTCGGTTTCGGGCAGCGAGGATCATTGTTTCCTGGATAACAGTTGGGAGGGACTGGGGTAGTGGGTTTTGGACACCGAGGGTCTGTGCTGCCAGGGTAACATTTAGGGGCAGCGGGCGTAGTTGGTTTTGGGCAGCGAGGATCATTATTTCCTGGATAACAGTTGGGAGGGGCTGGGGTAGTGGGTTTTGGGCAACGTGGATCTGTGCTACCTTGATAACAGTTGGGAGGAGCAGGAGTAGTGGGTTTTGGGCATCTAGGGTCGGTGCTACCAGGGTAACATTTGGGAGCAGCGGGCGTAGTTGGTCTTGGGCAGCGAGGATCATTACTTCCGGGATAACAATTTGGAGGAGCAGGTGTTGTGGGTTTTGGACACCGAGGGTCTGTGCTACCTGGATAACAGTTGGGAGGAGCAGGAGTAGTGGGTTTTGGGCATCTAGGGTCGGTGCTGCCAGGGTAACATTTTGGAGTAGCAGTAGATGGAGGAAGATATGTGGGTGGGGTTAAAGTTGTTGGTCTAGACGGTTGAGGACAGCTCGGGTCGGGGGATCCTGGATAACAAACTGGTTTTGGACTAGTTGGTCGTGGACAACGTGGGTCAGTGTTTCCAGGATAGCAATCCGCAGGGGCAGGAGTGGTAGGTTTTGGGCACCGAGGATCTGTGCTGCCAGGGTAACATTTGGGAGCAGCGGGCGTAGTTGGTCTTGGGCAGCGAGGGTCATTATTTCCTGGATAGCAGTTAGGTGGCGCAGGCGTAGATGGTTTTGGGCACCTAAGATCTGTGCTACCTGGGTAACAATTGGGAGCGGCAGATGTGGTTGGCTTTGGACAACGAGGGTCTGTGCTGCCAGGGTAACATCTAGGAGCAGCGGGTGTAGTTGGTCTTGTGCAGCGAGGGTCATTACTTCCTGGATAACAGTTGGGTGGTGCAGGTGTTGTAGGCTTTGGGCATCGTGGATCTGTGCTACCTGAATAACAGTTAGGAGGAGCCGGTGTAGTGGGTTTTGGGCATCGAGGATCTGTGCTACCTGGATAACAGTTTGGAGGTGCAGTTGTTGTTGGCTTAGGGCAACGTGGATCAGTGCTGCCTGGGTAACAATTGGGAGGAGCATGTGTAGTGGGTTTTGGGCACCGAGGGTCTGTGCTACCTGGATAACAGTCGGGAGGAGCAGGAGTAGTGGGTTTCGGGCATCGAGGGTCTGTGCTGCCAGGGTAACATCTAGGAGCAGCGGGTGTAGTTGGTCTTGGGCAGCGAGGATCATTACTTCCGGGATAACAATTTGGAGGAGCAGGTGTTGTGGGTTTTGGACACCGAGGGTCTGTGCTACCTGGATAACAGTTGGGAGGAGCAGGAGTAGTGGGTTTCGGGCATCGAGGGTCTGTGCTGCCAGGGTAACATTTGGGAGCAGAGGGCGTAGTTGGTCTTGGGCAACGAGGGTCGTTAGTTCCTGGATAGCAGTTAGGAGGAGCCGGTGTAGTGGGTTTTGGGCACCGAGGATCAGTGCTATCTGGGTAACATTTCGGAGTAGCAGTAGATGGTGGAAGATACGTGGGTGGGGTTAAAGTTGTTGGTCTAGACGGTTGAGGACAACTCGGGTCAGGGGATCCTGGGTAACACACTGGTTTTGGACTAGTTGGTCGTGGACAACGTGGGTCAGTGTTTCCAGGATAGCAATTGGCAGGGGCAGGAGTGGTTGGTTTTGGGCATCGAGGATCTGTGCTACCTGGATAACAGTTTGGAGATGCAGGTGTTGTTGGTTTAGGACAACGTGGATCAGTGCTGCCTGGGTAACAAGCGGGAGTTGAAGGTGTAGTAATTTGAGGGCAACGTTGGTCGGTGCTTCCAGGGTAACATTTAAATTCGGTGGTTGATGGTGGTAAATACGTAGGTGGTGTTATTGTCGTTGGTTTTGAAGGCTGTGGACAGTTCTTGTCAGGGGAACCAGGATAGCATGCAGGTTTAGAAGTTGTTGGTTGAGGGCATCCTGGATCAGTACTGCCTGGGTAGCAGTTTGGACCAGGTGGCGTAGTGGGTCTAGGACATCTTGAGTCAGTGCTGCCTGGGTAGCACTTAGGACCAGCTGGCGATGTGGGCCTTGGACATCTTGGATCAGTACTGCCTGGGTAGCAATTAGGACTAGCTGGCGTTGTGGGTTTTGGACATCTTGGATCAGTGCTGCCTGGGTAGCAGTTAGGACCAGCTGGCGTTGTGGGTCGCGGACATCTTGGATCAGTACTTCCTGGGTAGCAGTTAAGACCAGCTGGCGTTGTGGGTTGCGGACATCTTGGATCAGTGCTTCCTGGGTAGCAGTTAGGACCAGCTGGAGTTGTGGGTCTCGGACATCTTGGATCAGTGCTGCCTGGGTAGCAGTTAGGACCAGCTGGCGTTGTGGGCTTCGGACATCTTGGATCAGTGCTGCCTGGGTAGCAGTTAGGACCAGCTGGCGTAGTGGGTCTCGGACATCTTGGATCAGTGCTGCCTGGGTAGCAGTTAGAACCAGCTGGCGTTGTGGGTCGCGGACATCTTGGATCAGTACTTCCTGGGTAGCAGTAAGGACCAGCTGGCGTTGTGGGTTGCGGACATCTTGGATCAGTGCTTCCTGGGTAGCAGTTAGGACCAGCTGGCGTTGTGGGTCTCGGACATCTTGGATCAGTGCTGCCTGGGTAGCAGTTAGGACCAGCTGGCGTTGTGGGCTTCGGACATCTTGGATCAGTGCTGCCTGGGTAGCAGTTAGGACCAGCTGGCGTAGTGGGTCTGGGACATCTTGGATCAGTGCTGCCTGGGTAGCAGTTAGGACCAGCTGGCGTAGTGGGTCTCGGACATCTTGGATCAGTGCTGCCTGGGTAGCAGTTAGGACCAGCTGGCGTTGTGGGTTTCGGACATCTTGGATCAGTGCTGCCTGGGTAGCAGTTAGGACCAGCTGGCGTAGAGGGTCTCGGACATCTTGGATCAGTGCTGCCTGGGTAGCAGTTAGGACCAGCTGGCGTTGTGGGTTTCGGACATCTTGGATCAGTGCTGCCTGGGTAGCAGTTAGGACCAGCTGGCGTTGTGGGCTTCGGACATCTTGGATCAGTGCTGCCTGGATAGCAGTTCGGAGCGGCTGGTGTTGTCGGTTGTTCAACTCTTGGACATCTCGGATCGTTTGAACCTGGATAGCATTTAATCTGAGGAACTGTTGTTTGACGGCAGCGTGGGTCGTTAGAGCCAGGGTAACAGAGTTGTGGTGTAATAGTGGTCGATATTTCCTGTGTTATTCCTTCACAATTGGCGTCACAGTTATTTGTGCACAGCTGAAAGATAAAGTAACATTTTATGAATTTGGTGTTAAAATGAAGTCGGCTATAAACTGGAGTTAACTTAAGTTTTCATTAAATATAACTTACTTCGACATTGCAAGTCAAATATACTTGGTCAGTTTCAGGGAAACGGAACGCGCTGACTTTGCTGTAAGCGATTATTGTAGCTCCACTTTTGCCAGTATTCGTTGTTTTTTGGAATAAGTCGATAAACTTTTTCTTTCTGAAAGAACAATTTACTCGTCATTCAATTATTAAAAATAATTTCAATCTGTATTTTTTTATGGTTTGAATAAAATATTATTACGTTTTGCAGCTACTACTGTAATTATTTATGTAAATTTCGTTACTTCTGTTAACATAACATTATATTGTTCATTCAAGAACTAAAATGCTTCATGAACACACATACAAGGATGAGTAGGAATAAAAAGTTTGGATGATACAAAAGTGCTTTCAAAATTTTTATGGAGATTATTTATTTCTTCTTCTTGATATGTCATTCCTATCGGAGGTTGGACAGCATCATGGTTATCTTTATTTTAGAGGCTGCTGCTCGTTACAGGGAGGTAGTGCTCAGCCCAAACCAATCCCTTAAATTCCTAAGCCAAGAATGTCGCCTTCTTCCAGGAGATTATTTACATACAAAGATAAACTAATATATAGATAATAATATAAAAGTCTTACTTGGGGCATCCTTCTTTATCTGTAAGCTGAATCTTATTAGTTTTAGGGTTGTCGTAGTTCTCATTATCGTATGCCCAACAGTCATGTATCTTCAAGCTGAACTGATTCCTAATGTCTTTCAAGTACACCAATATTGTTAGATATTCTCCAATCTTGATAGAATCCTTTAGTGGAGTTGTCTGAAACATATTGTTCTATTATAAGACTACAAAATAAAAGATTAGTTATCATTGGTTTGTAGTCTTTAAATGTATGCGTTTATATATTTAATACTTCGTGCACAACTTACAGGGGAAGATTGAATACCGCAGGCATTTTATATGAGTCAATCTTAGGGTGATATGTATATAAATTATCGGTGAGGTTAGGTGCACACCACAGTTTGGGTTGGCATTTAGTCAGTAACCACTAACTATGGACAGCACACTTAGGATTCAATTCACATAAAAAAAATAGAAAGACAGATCTCAATAACAAGAACGGATCGATCGATCTATATGTGATACCAAAACAAGCGCACTAACTAACGAAGGCTAGTTAAAGTTTAAAAACTGCTAAACTTACGTTAGGGAAAACTCCTTTCTGTATATCCATCCAACATTCAACTCCGCCAGCGGGGCCTTGGACTGCAACAACGTCGAGCATGTCCACCATAAAAGGTTTAAGCTTGAGAGTATGAGTTTCTTCCCTGGCGCCAACACCGGCTGATACTTCAAGAGATGTGCTCACACAAGAAACCTGAAATTTGTTTATTTCACAAGTTGGCAAAGTAAACAGGAGCTTTATATCGTATTGCAAGTAATTTTCTAAACAATATTCAGTAAGTTTCTAAATAAGCATTTGTAAGTATCGTTTTAAGTGGTAATATGTCAACGGCATTATTAACACATCACTATAAAGTTCATAGTGCGTGTCTCAACTTGATTATTAGTGTTCTTTTTCATTCCACATGTCACAATGAAAATGTTACTTTTAACCTTCTGTGTGAACTTTTATGAACAAATGAACTTTTATTAAATTTAACTTGGGTATATTATGTGTTACACTGACTACGAATTACGTTAATTAGGTAGCTAACGTAATTCACATTCTACATTAAGATCCAATGTATTTGTGGGTAGCATAGTTTAACAAATTTCACTCTAATCTAAACATCGCTGTCTCATAATGAACTCCCTTTATTCATGTTTACACAAATTATCCTTGATTTGTCTCGCTCCTTGTCTTCATTTACGACTTTGTACTTAAATAAATAATATATTATTAATGTATTAAAGTCGATATGGTTCAAATGGTCCAATAATCAATTGTATTGTAATGACAGAAAGTAACTTAAGTTGTTAATAAGTCAATATAAGTAGTACGGCACTCCACGACAGGGGCTCTCAGAATATCAGTGCTTTTGTGATGTTGACTGTCACAAAAGATATCACTGAGAGAGCCTCCTGGTTGGCCACCCAATATATATTTGTGGTGCTTTTTTGTTCTTCCTTTATTTTTTCTTTTAATAATGTTGCACGTGTTGTGCTGTTTTATGTATCTTAAAGGCCAATAAAAACTTTTTCTTTCTTTCTTATTACTAAATGTTTTTGCGTTATCACTTGGTTTTATTATAAATATTTTATTTAGTCTTCCCGTTATTACATTCGTCCACATTTTGTACTCATATTTTAATTATATGTTATCAATTGTAATTTATAATTAGAGTTATATACTATATTAACTTTATTAATAATTATAGTCTAGGGTTATTTGGCTTTATCGCAGTACTCTCTGCGCCGTTCTGTCAACTGTACATTAAGTAAAAGGAAAGGTAATTTAGACGTTTGATAAAAATTGGCTCATTTTTGTATGATAGTTAAATCTCATACAAAAAACTATTAAACAAATTTTTAATTTGTCATAATCTACGAGTATTAATGATGATAGAAAAAATAATGTCTCTTTTATTTTCCAACCTTTCTGGCAAAGTCCAGGGGACCTTGAACGAAATCGTCAGCCTGGAAGACTAGCACATTGTCTATAGTGCCACAAGCATTACACAGGGGTCTGGAACCGCAACCTTTGAGGGGTACTCGGAATGAATACCGGGATTGACTGCCTCCGAGGGAAACATATCTGAAATTATATAAAAATTACACATAAATATAATATAATAAATTGGTTCTAAAATAAATATTATAATAATAATATAGTGTAACGTGTAATTAAAAAACAAGGGTCACATTATTTGAAGCAATTAAAGATCCAAATTTTAAAGAATATCAAAACCAAAAAGGTATTAGAAAATAATAATAAGTCTTATAAAAAATCTTGTCAATATTTTAATAATAATATAGTTTAACGTGTAATTAAAAAACAAGGGTCACAATATTCGAAGCAATTAAAGACCCCAATTTTATAGAATATCAAAACAAAAAAGATATTAGAAAATAATAATTAGTATTATAAAATATTGACAAGACATTTTATAATATCTGTTTTTAGATCTCATTTAGAACCAAGCTTCTAATTTTAAACGCCATAAGTTTACCTACAAATTCTTATACGAATTCAATTTGCAGACTTCTAGCATCATAATTAACGACAGTCATGAGACTTTGTATGAACAAAGTTCCACCCCCTAGATTAAGGAAACCGGGGACGAAAATTCCAAGATTTCGATTTACCATCTTTCTTACCAATTTTCAGGTTTCTACGACTTCCAGAAGTACCCTATAGGTTTTGATGATTTTTATTGAGTGCGTTTATAAGTATCGAATCGGAGTTTTTTTAGATATCAAACAAAAGTATTATAACTATACAATTAAAACTTTGTATGTTTAATAAGTTCGTTACTTGGATTGCAACCCGAAAATTTGATGTGTATAGTGTAATCCAAAGATAAGTTATGATGGCCCAAAAATACGTGAAAATGTACGTGAGGCCCTTATGCTTTTTGTTTGGTTCACCTTGGCGGCCCACTACCGTGGCCCTACCCTACGCCATGCTACGAAAGTATAAATATCAGTTTTTTTTTCAACTGACTGGATGATAAAATATTTCTATTACTTCTTGAAAGATTTAATTATTCTATAGAAAAATCCACAGCTTTTTATTAAGAGTTTAAATTAAGAGTCAACAATGCTCTGTATAAGACATAAATAGTATCGATTGGGAGGCCTAAAGAAATCACGATATACATTAAAAGATAGAAGAAACTTACTTGCAATTCGGATCGTTCAAGAATCCCTTGCTGTAAATAATACCATCGTACACATCAGGGAAGTCTACGGTGACATCGATGAAGTCGGCCGAGCACTGTACGTCAATATCGGGTGAGAGTGGAGAGTCAGCTGCCCTGGAACCTCTCATGAAGGTGACGCCTGTGTCTTCGTTGCTGGCCTCGTAGAAGATAGAGAGGTCATTGCTGGAGAGTTGACGGTTCAACTCCGCAGCTGTGAGGGAGTATGCGCCATCTGAAACAGCTGTAGCTAGCGACAGCTACAGAAAATAATATTTAATACTTAATACTGTGAAGGAATATAGTAAGCACATAGTTCAAATGTAGACTTTTTAATCAGACAATCCTAAGAGACTCCGACGTCTGTGCTCATAAAATTGCGAATTGAAAACCAGTAGTTTTATGGCTATAAATAAATTATTTAAGAATGTTAATAATGAAAAAGGTCACATACCAGTTATTTGTTATGATTAATAACAATTTCTCTATGATTTGAAAACACTTGAAACAAAGGGAATTAAAATTTGCAAAACGGAAAATTAATACGGAATTTATATAATGTAATAAAACGAAGGTCTTGAAATCTAACACAAAACATATTTCAAAAATACAAATTGAGTTAGTTAGGTATACACATTCATCATGCCTATCGGGTGCTACGTCGCAATTAAAATGATATCTATAAAATTATTGTTCTGTGAGTACAATGAATTCTTTTTCCCTATCTCACGCACATTTCGCGTTACGAATATACATTGTGAATAATAAACTTGTCTAGATTGCTCTATGACATTTTTTAGATACAGCAATCTGTTACTATAATAATGTAGATATAACATACAAAATGGGGTAACTCAAGATTTTACGAATGAAATATTTTCTCAAGCCTGTTTCCTTCGAGTCTATAGAATATTTTTGCCCAAAATGCATTTTATCGCTTAGTTTTAACTTCTAGCTAAATTACTGACTTCAAAGCTTACACATACTTAACGGCTCTCAAATTATGTAACGTTATAAAGACGAAATAAACGCAAATAATGTCCCAAGTATTTACTCTGCTATTCTATAATAAAATCAGTTTTCTGACGACCGGAATAAAACTTCCGAGAAGTATTATGTTGCACAATTCACAACAACAATAATTGAGTAAGAAACTCAACTTCTTTTTTTAGATTACATAGATATTATATATAAATCGATTTAATAGATTTTATACAAAATGGAATTCAAGGTAATATTAAAAAGTCTTATTTTCCAAAACCTTCATCAAGTTTCTTAAATATAAAAGAATCTTTATGAAAATCAGCCTCGAACTTGTCGTTGAGAAGGCTGTTACATCATAGAGCTTCAACGAAATAAAACCTTTACTATCCCTTTGAAGTAAGTTTTAACTGGTCGAACCTCTATGTAGAGACATCGCTGTGTTCGACGTCAAGTTCTAAGTTGACTTTATTACAGAATAGCATCGCTGTTTTAAATTAATCATCTTAATTATCACTCAGGCATGTTTGGACAGGTTAATGTTTAGTTAAAGTTATAACAATCATTGGCTTCCGGTTGCTAATATAACAGACATTCTATAAATATCATATTAAAATAATTTTAAAAGGATATTATTTTGACGTTTCGGATTCTTTACAGGTTCCGTCTTCACTAAGACTAAGATTTTGATTTTTTTTTATAATTAAAAGCATAGATACTATCAAGCAATACTATAATTATAATATCTTTAATTAATCAAATATTTACTTAATGGCTTACTATAACTTTAGACGATACAGGTAAAAACCAATATCTACTTCATATTTCCAAGAAAAACTTAATTCCAACGTAGTCTTAAATCTCTGAATTTATTAGTATCTTAATTACCTACATGTTTTGGTCGATTTATAGATGACCCAGACATTTTAAACACTAATTCTGGTTAAACGCTTACGTAATCCGTGTTTCCTAACATTATCTACTATTTAATTGGGCGATTTCGTTATTTCTACTTGTGGAATGCAAAATTTATGGATGCGTTCAATATACGGCCAACTTTGACCCAAAGATTAGATTCTATATAATCGTTACGTAATAAAAAAATAACATGTAACTTAACAGCTGTTAAAACACCATAATGTTATGTAAAAGTTGTCGCCAATTACTGTTCCAGTAATTGGTCAGGCATAGACATGGAATTGTGACTACCCAAGTAGCTCGGTGGCGTAGAGGATAAGCGCCGCGGCCCGCGATCGTAGTCGTTAAGCAACTTTCGCAAGGGTCGGTCACGGGATGGGTGACCAAAAAATTATTATCTCGAGCTACTCCGTGCTTCGGAAGGCACGTTACGCCGTTGGTCCCGGCTGTATTTGCAGTCGTTAATACCCTCCAATCCGCATTGGGCCAGCGTGGAGGGTCATGGCCCATCCTCCTTAACCATCCATAAGGAAGGCCTGAGCCCCTGCAGTGGGGACATAAAAGGGCTAGTGATGATGATTATGATGACTTTTCTTGTATGATATTTAAAATCTAATTTTTACATTACAAAAAAGAAATTAATAATCTCACAGAAACAATACACTTTTCTTAAGTAAATAAAGTAGTAGTGATCTGACAGCTTTTACGGCTTAGCTGTTAAGGCGTTTATTGCATATCAGGTTTAAATTCAGGCTGATAAAAAAACGACTATCGTTACAAAAAAGTTGGTACTGTAGCGAGTACTGCTAAGAGTGAATACAAATACAAGGGGCGGATCGAGTGTGGATAGCTTAACAAGTCATAAGTATTTATGACATACTAATTGAACAAAGGATGAATTATGAATAACTTTTTTGTTGTTTTATTATTGTAATTAAAAGTGATTTCATAATCTAACAGTCAATTTACAATAAAGATTTTCTGTATAAAATAAAATAGGGCAAAAGTGTTTGAAATAGCTTAGTCTGAATATATTATTAACTAGGTTTATGTCAGCGGCTTCGCTTGTATGATATACACGGTGATTTGGCAGTATATTTACTTCTAAGCTCTAGGATTATCAGAAAATTTCATCAAACTTCGTTCAGTAGTTTTTGCATAGAGAAGTAGCAATGATTCATTCTCATAAACTTGCGCATTTATGTTATTAGTAGGATAAGGTAAATAAATATTAGATAAGTAGTCAAAGTTAAGTGGCTATTACACTTTTATTAGGATGGAATTGTTTTGAAACTGGCATGCTAGCTACTCGACTACTGTCCGCCAGCTGCTGGTGGTACCATGTCCCATCATTCCTTACCTGCACGAGTGCGATCAGTGCCGCTATGTGCATGACAGCCGCTTCATGGGGCCCTGGAACAAATATAAACATTATAGTAATTAACAGTAACGTAACACAGCAGTTTTTTTAAAGTATTTTTAATTAAGAATATTTTTCAGAATAGGGAACTTGATCAAATATAAAAATTAGAACAAATTTACATCTTTAAAGAAAGAAAAATAAAAAATTCTGCTGTTTGTGTGAATTGCCGGAACATTGATGACAATATGCTCTAGAGAAGTCTTTTCATTAAGAATATTTTTTACAGCAGTAAAGGTTAAATATCTGTTAATAATCGTGAAAGCTTCAATTTTATTTTCGTGACAACTAAAATATCGATTGAGGAATTAAAGTTGTCAAGATTTGACAACCGATTACATGAATTGAAAACGATGATCGAATAAAAAACATAAATTTTTTGAAAGCCAGATAATTTGTTTTGATGTGATATAGAACAACGTAAGTTAAGTTGAGTTATCCGTCTTGTTATAATACGATGAATAAAGTCAGTACTTAATTTACACTATTCGTCGCCTTAAGAAAATTGACAATGATGGTAGAGAAAATATCAAATTGAGACGTGTTGTCTTATTTCGGTCAACTTTGAACCTAGTACTAAAGTTAGTCTTCGTTTTATCACATTTTCTGAACAACAATATATAACTAATATACTCGTATTGGTGACCAAAACATTATTATCTCGAGCTACTCCGTGCTTCGGAAGGCACGTTAAGCCCGGCTGCATTTGCAGTCGTTAATACCCTCCAATCCGCATTGGGCCAGCGTGGAGGGTCATGGCTCATCCTCCTTAACCATCCATAAGGAAGGCCTGAGGCCCTGCAGTGGGGATGTAAAAGGGCTGATGATGATGATGATGATACTTGTATTTCGAAGTAATGAAAGATAACATATGCATTTTGGGAACAAGAGTTTCATCATTATTCGATTTAAACATGCTATAGTGAACGTAACAAAATATAATATCACTTAAATTCTAATTTGCAAAACACAAAATTATTAATATCGCATACAAAAGCAATAAATATTTTTATTTGCATTAAATATCTTGTAAGAGATGTTAGGTCGTGTGCAATAGCACATTATGCTTACATTGAGATGTAAGTGTCATATAAAGGTTACTAAAATATTTTTAGCGAAGCGAATTTCATAATCTGTCATAGTTCAAGTGATAAAAGCAGACGCAAAGTGATAAAATGTTAGTCCTTGTGTTCATTTGACATTTACACAATTGAAAGTTTGACAGATTAAAATGAAATTAGTTGTACACGGAGTTACGTGCACCTCATAGACTTCTTTTAATTAAATTAAATATTAAACAACATCACACACATTGCTCAGATTCCAAGATGAGTAGCTAAAGCCCCGGATCATGGAGTAACTGAGACAACGAAGGTACCACAACACCCAGACCCGAGACGATATAGATTCTACATTGACCCGACCGGGAAATGAAAACCTGGGACCTCGGAGATGGCGACGCCTTGAGATCAATCAATAGATCGATAAAAACATTGAAAATTAGATATTATACATAAGTAATACAAACTTGTGTGTAGAGCCTCTTTCGATTTTGAAATCAGTTGAATAGACTCGATTTTATTGCTTATTATAAGCAGTTTCCGTCCGTAATAGTGTTGTGTCTTCACTAGACAGTGTCATGTAAATGATTGATAAATCGGGAGATTGAATGTTCTATGAGACGTAACAGCATCTACGGTGTCTTATCTTACTTACGGAGTCATATTTAGAGATATGGAATTTTCGCAAACAGAAAACACGAATTTTGCATTTATATTGCAATTGCTATGACTAGCAGAAATGTCAAACTTTGACGCTTCACTGTTTTAAATTAAGTGGCTAAATTCAACAGTTATGTATAGTCTGAATTTATCGGGGAACTTGAATGGATTGCCTCTTCTATGTAGAACTACTCGATGAAAAATGAATATACATTTATTCACCACTACCTACCACGACTGCGAACGTTATTCTCAGTAGCTATTCATTTTTATCGTTTACTAGCTTCCGCCAGCGGCTTCGCCCGCATGGTCTTGTATTGTACATAAAAACCTTCCTTTTGAATCACCCTATCTATGAAAAAAAAAGGCATCAAAATCTGTTGCGTAGTTTTAAAGATTTAAGCGTAAATAGGGTTAGGGACAGAGGAAGCGACTTTGTTTTATACTATGTAGTGGTGATGATTCTAGATCTTTAGCTACAAAAATTACTAAGAAACGTCCAACTCAAAACATTAATTAATTTATGGAAAACGGAGAAAAGCTTATCTCACATGTGGCTCGATAAGTCAGATTTTCTCAAACTGTCTATTTCATATTTCCCTGGTTGACTAGAGAACACCTAAAGGTATAAAATCCTCATGTGCGTTTTAATTGTGCAAAAAAGTTTAAATAAACGAATAAAATTCATAATAAAATTCAGAATAAAATTCAATAAAATTCATTTCTTAAACATCTTAATAAAAAACATAAACATTACTTAAACTAATAAATTATAACGATGCAGCTATTAATTAGTATTTTATAATAGATATAAATTATATTACGTTTTTATTATACCTGACATCAACACATCCATTTTATTTCAGTCGGTCAAATGAAGATTTCAATAGTCACTCGCTTAGCAAAAGGTCACGTCACGGATCAAATCATAATTTTATCTGTGATTAATTTCCTATAACCTATTGATGAGTCATAAGTCATGGTTCACACAAACCCTTAGAGCTGTGTTGAAATAAAAATCGGAAGTAATCGATCACGTCAAGGTGGAAAACAATTAATATTTTCATAAACAAAATCCGTTACTAATACATCACGATAAAACGCTTCCTAAAACGTGAACAGAGAAATACAAGGTTTATATCATTATTTCTTTAGTCAAATTCGTATTAAAACAAAACATAAATTATATGTTCGAACATAATCGGAAGTCTTAATTATAAGGAATCGTGCATGTCTATATAGATATCTCATTTTAAAATAAATAAACAAACTCATTTTAAATTTAAAAGAAAATAATCGAACTATAATCGCTTATTATTAGATGCAATTAAAGTTTTATCTGTGCTTTATGTTAACAGTTAAATTTGTGACAAAATTTAATCGAATGTGTCTCAAGGGCAAGGAAATTCCAAGAACCGGCTATCAGCGACGGCGTTGTAATTTGCTGAATTTGTAAAAATCTAAAGAATCCATTTTTGTGGCAATATATTGTTCGTGAAACTAAATATGTGTACTTAGATGAACAACAAAAATTTTACGTTCAGCCAAGCCCACTTTGGCACCATCTTACTACGTCCATGTTGATAGTTCACTGCGCTTCGAACAAATCGAGTGTTAATGTTGTATTGATTTTTAATGATAATAATAATCAGAGTCCAGCTGTTTTAGGAACATACAATTGTTTTAATTCAGGAAAACCTGTAATTAGTTTTACTCTGTATTAGTATTAATTCTTAATAATTATAATTTTGTAAAAGCCGTTGGTTTTCTTACAATAAAAAACAATAGTGATGACGACTGGGTAAGAAAATCTATTTAGTCCGTCAGTCAGGTAATAGAAAAATATTAGACACGTATTTTTTTTTTACTTCAATTTAACAAGAAATAGCTAAGATAACAGGCATTAAAGTTGAGGAGTGGGGGCTCGCTACGTCACAGTTTTGTATAAAATGTACAAAAGCGTGACGTCATGAGACATTTTAACTCAATGTATACGAAAAAAAAACACGTGTTTAATATTTTTCAACAATGTACCTGACGTACACACAAAAATAAAATAAATGTAAATTCACTAATCGGAGCTTTTTACCTTTTTTTTATTTAATTGCCGTTATAAATCGCTAGTAGGTTTTATGCGTTTTGATTCTTATTGGGAAATTCCCAGAAGTAATTTAGGTTGGCCAAAATTGAATCAACTAATTAAATTAATAATAAATAAGAAAAACTAATAAATTAGCGATATTATAACACAAATTGCTATGAAATATTTATTTTCGTAGTAGATTTTTGTATGTTTCAAGCATTCGAATATAAGTTCATATATTATTAACGAGTCCAGTCAGCTTCAACCACAGTTTTGAAATTGAAAAAAAAAATCGTTTTACTGCGGTAGACCTTGTACTGAGAAGAATCGGCAAGAACCTAAGCAAGGGCTGTTATTTACTACTTGTTTCATTTCATATAGAGATATCACACCGAAAAAGGACTCCAAGAGTAATGAAGATAAAAAACCTGGTGACGTATGTACACATACGCTACTTGTTTTATTTCATATAGGGATGTCACATCGAAAAAGGACTTCAAGAGTAATAAAGATAAAAAAGATAGCGGCGTATTTACACATACGTGCAATATTGTGCGTGCATTAATTAATATATTTTTTTGTTTATAAATACGTACAATCAGTATCGTTTAATATACAATGATCGGAGCAGGGGCAGTGAAGTTGTAGTGATTATTTAATAATGTTTCTCTGTAACATTCTAATTTGCGGATGGGCGTGATGTATATAATGGTAGGTACACCATTAACAAATTCAAATGCCAGTTCATCTTGTGAACCGTTCATAATCGTGAGGTCATTTCGGTTCAACCTAGGTATATACAGTTTGTATCCACTAATATTTTAATTAAATTACGTAGTGAATTATTAAAGTTTTGATTTGTTATTATATGAGGGAAAACTAATAACAAAAGAGACTTTAACACTAGTATTAAATCAATTCACAGGATTATATGTTTAAATGATCTCAGAATAGGCATCTGTGAGGTGCTTACTAATTTAATATTGAATTAGTAAAAAATTCAAATTACGAAAGATGAATAATAAAAAACTTAGGACGACATAAACGGTGGTACGGCGCACCGTTAAAAGTTTTTATATTAATATATAAAAGTCGATTTCCGCCAGCGGTTCCGCCCGCGTGATCCTGTGTTACGCATACAAGGATCACACCGTATAAACGCCGGGAACCAACTTATTACTGTGTATAG